TCCCCGTGTCTCTGTGTCTCTGTGTCCCCGTGTCTCTGGATGTGTCTCTGTGTCCCCGTGTCTCTGGATGTGTTTCTGTGTCCCCGTGTCTCTGGTTGTGTCTGTGTCCCCGTGTCTCTGGATGTGTCTCTCGATGTGTCTCTGGATGTATCTCTGTCCCCGTGTCTCTGGTTGTGTCTCTGTGTCCCCGTGTCTCTGTGTCTCTGTGTCCCCGTGTCTCTGGATGTGTCGCTGTGTCCCCGTGTCTCTGGATGTGTCTCTGTGTTCCCGTGTCTCTCGATGTGTCTCTGTGTCCCCGTATCTCTGTGTCCCCGTGTCTCTGGATGTGTCTCTGTGTCCCCGTGTCTCCAGCTGCCTGTGGTCTCCCAGGTCCTCGTGTCTCGTGACCTCTGCCCGCGTGCGTGACCTCGGCCTGCCCTCGCGAGACCAAAAACGGCAATAGACGGAGACCCGGCCGATGTCAGAGCAGCTGTGTGCGTGTGTATGATGGTGTGTGTGTGAACGTGTGTGTGAGTGTGTGAACGTGTGTATGATGGTGTGTGTGTGCGCGTGTGTACGTGTGTGTGTGTATGAGTGTGTGAGAGTGTGTGTGTGAGCGTGTGTATGATGGTGTGTGTGCGCGTGTGTACGAGTGTGTGTATGAGTGTGTGTGTGCGTGTGTATGAGTGTGTGAGTGTGAGCGTGTGTATGAGTGTGTGAGTGTGTGAGCGTGTGTATGTGTGTTTACGAGTGTGTGAGTGTATGAGTGTGAGCGTGTGTATGAGTGTGAGTGTGTGTACGAGTGTGTGTGTCAGTGTGTGTGGGGAGCGGTGGTGTAGCGGTTAGCGCGTTGCGCTATGAACCTGGCGACACGGGTTCGATTACCGTTCACGGCCAACACCAGTGACGATTGTCTGAACCGGTCCTGGGCCTCCCCTAGGTCGACTCAGCCTCAAATGAGTATCTGGTACGGTGTGTAAACATTGCCACTGGGGAAACAAAGGCGGTCGGGCGTGGTGTTGGCCACCCACTCCCACGTGTGCCGTGCTGGCCTTCATAGGTGCTCGCAAACAGCACTTGCCCCTACAGTCTGTCCAGGCTATAGGGGGAATCTTTCTCTGCAATACGGCAATCACTGCGCCACCGCTCCCACGCACACACGAGTGTTGAGTGTTTAATAAATCACACGTGGATTCTGCACGTCACAGCGTGACACGTGCCTTTAAGTGCTCTTCACGCAACAACCACCAGCACCACCACCTCGCCTCGGCTCATCTCCCCGCTCCTACCCACGGCCCCCCGCCCCCCGACTCTGAACGTCTCCACTCAACCACCCTGGGGTGCAGCTGTTGGCGTCAGCTGGGTCCTCACAAGTCCGGCGCCTGTCCCCCCCGTCACCCCGAATCGCAACTTGGACAATCGTGAGGCGTGCTACCAAGGGGCTCATGGTGGTGTGGAGGGGGGGGGGCAGCGGGGGGGGGGGGCGGGGGCCAGTCCACCCCTTACCGCTCCGAATGACCCCTTTAATCCAGCAGGGCCATCGCATCCAACCGGGCTATTATTGTAACGGCGTGCAGAGCACGTGCTCTACATGGGCCCCTGTGCGTGTGTGTGTGGAGATGGAGGCGAGACTTGATGAGATGTGGGGTGGCCGGGGGGAAGCAAGGGCTTTTTGGGAGCGGTGGTGCAGCGGTTAGCGGCTGCGCTGCGCTACGAACCCGGCGGCCCGAGTTCGATTCCCGGCTCACGGCCAACACCGGTGACGATTATCTATACTGGGCCTCCCCTAGGTCGACTCAGCCTCAAATGAGTATCTGGTGCGGTGTGTAAACATCGCACGTGGTGCTGGCCATCGTGCACGCGAACAGCACTTGCCCCAACAGTCTGTTCAGGCTTCACGGGGGATCTTTGTCTTATTGAGATGTGAGATGGAGGGGAAGAGTTGCCGAGGTGTGGGGGCGCCAGGCAAGGAAGGGCTCTGGCGGAGTGTGACCCGACAGGGGGCAGACTGAGTGCAGCAAGGACAGCGCACGACCTCCTATCGCTCAACTAACTCAACACGACGACTCAACACCAACGACTAACACTAACTTAACACCAACGACTAACTTACCACTAACGACTAACTTAACACGACAACTAACTTAACACTAACGACTAACTTAACACTAACGATTAACTTAACACTAACGACTAACACTAACTTAACACTAACGACGACTCAACACTAACGACGACTTAACACTAATGATTAACTTAACACCAACGACTAACTTAACACTAACGACTTAACAATAACAACTAACTTACCACCAACGACTAACTTAACGCGACAAAAGACCGAATTTGCCAGCGACTTAACGCGAGGCGTTACAAGTGAAAACCGCTTCGAGTGAGAAGCGACGTGGTGCTTGTTATTCCTCGGCCCGTGGTGGAAATTCCACATTCCTATGACAAGTGATAATTATCGATGCGCAGGCAGAGGCAGCCGTTGCATGGCTGCAGACCAAGACCATCCTCACAGCAAGCGTCGTGCGCAAGATCTCACTAAAATGCTCAAACCAATTCGCGTGCTGACGGAAATCTTTGCTCTCAAACATCGGTGGAAATGCCAGATGCCCACGTGCGCATCGGGCGTCACGTGCGCATCGGGCGTCGCGTCACCGTCTTCAGGAGCCCTCATTTGCACCCAAAACCTCACCAAAGGCATTTCTCGCCAAGATGCCCACGTTGTCCAATGGAGACCCTCAAAGGAGAGAAATGTATCTGCGTATGCACGCTGAACTTCTTTTGCACCGTACGCAGCCAACCGCGCCAATCGGAAGGACAACACAAATCCCCGGCTCCCCTCGCCCTCGCCAGGGCCTCGGGACCGCTGCTGCGACTGGGACTCCTCCTGCTGCAGCAGCTGCCGAGCGGCGTCACCGCGCACGGTCACCTTGGCGGCACCGCGTCCGCACCCTGCTGCCCACGGCGGCTGCGTTCCGCACAGCGCCAGCCCCGCTCCCCCGATTCCCTCCCTGCCTTGCAGACTCCATTCTTTATTTTCTTCTTCAGCGTCTCCCTCCGAATGGAGTTATGTAATTCCTTGCATCTCTGTCGCCGTACAACCTCCGCCTCCCGTCCTTATGTTGAACTTCTTTCGCACTCTACGTAGCCAGGGATCGGAGGTGCGGGGGAAGGAATCGGAGGTGCGGGGGGAGGAACGCACGACCATTCCTGCGCTGGCGGGAACAGATATTTGCTGTCAAACTTGTGTCTTGCTCTGCTGGACCTGTTCGTCCATCGGTGCAACATCTCCCAACATCTTCCAGTTCCTCGTCCCCGGCTGTCGCTCCTCTACAGCCTCCCCCAAATCCCTCACTCCCCCCCTCCTCCTCCCCCCCAAAGTGATCCAGAACGCCGCCGCCGCCGCTAGATTCCGCGCCCACGCTCGTAAGTGAAACCGCATCACCCCGAACCTCAGATCCGCTCCTCCGCTTCCCAAGCCAGTCCCCCCCAAGACCGCAATCTCCGACTTTGACGTCTCCCAAGGACTCGTCCCTCCCTGTATGTCACATCTTAAAACAAAATCTAAACATTCGTGTCAATAACACGGCCTTAAAATGGAAAGCAAAAAAAGGGAGGCGACAGGTCGGGCAACGGTCCTTCGTCAGCGCTGCAAGCCAATACCCATCTCCGTGCGCCCCCTGTGCTCCAGCTACCTGGCAAACTTCCTCATCCCCTATTCCGTGGTGGGGAGCCTCGAAATTCCCTGCTGCTGCTGCTGCCTCGGGTCTGAAATGTCCTCGAAATTCCCTGCTGCTGCTGCTGCCTCGGGTCTGAAACGTCTTCGAAATTCCCTGCTGCTGCTGCTTCTGCTGCTGCCTCGGGTCTGAAACGTCCTCGAAATTCCCTGCTGCTGCTGCTGCTGCTGCTTCTGCTGCTGCCGCTGCCTCGGGTCTGAAACGTCCTCCCCTGGCGTCCCCTGGCCACCCGCGGCTGCCGATTTCCTGCCGCCGTTCAGGTGCAGGTTGGGGCGACCTTCCTCTTCACCTCTGCCTACGACTGCCCGACCGCCCGCGTCCCCATGAAGCGATTCCAACCGCACCCCCCGCGCTGAGGTTGTGCTGCTTTTTTGTAAAGCATCGTGAGATGCTTCTCTAGACGCTCCACAAGCGCATTTCTCCCTCCCTCATCGCCCACCTCCCTTGCCGTCTCTCTGTCCCATGCTTCGATCCCTCCTTGCCTCAATTTGGCCAATAACCACGATGGGTTGTGGCACTCAACGGCAAGTGATGCGAGACCATGAAACCTGCTCACGCTTTGAGAACCAAGACGAGGCAACTGCCCTGTCGGTCGGCTCCATTTACAGCATTGCCGCCGCTACGGGGACACAGTTTGTCAATGGCGATGGTAGCAAAGTATGTCGGGCTCGAGTTTCTGCACCACGCCCCCGGCTACGCATCCGGCAACAAACCCACGGCACGCATTGGAGGCCTTCACGGCCCCACGGGCTTCTATCTCGGAGCCTCTGACCCCACCCCAGGCGTTTCTGGATCCCCTGTCCGGGCCCCCTCGACGTCCATCTCAGGCCCGTGCACACCGTATAAGGGTGGTGGACCCGACCCAGGACCTCCGGATCGACCCCGGCTGTTTAGACTCTGCTCGGACACTAGAACGAGGGAGAAATGAGACGTGGAGCACCTTTGCTTTTGCGAAAGGACGCACGGAGACCCCTTTCCCCTGCCTGGAAAGACATTCCAGTGTTCTATTTCTGCTTGAAACAAGAAAAGAAAAAACACCACCCACAGTAACAAAAAACGATGAGCCAGGAAAAACGAGCTCCTTGCAAGGAATTCTGTTGACGCAAGTGTCGGCTCCCGAGGGAACGCTGCGCTCCACGTTCGAAGGGGGCGGCAGGAGGGGTCAACAGCTGCGTCCAGGATTAGAGACGGCGCCGTAGGGGGGGGGGCGTTGGGGGGCGTTGGCGGGTGGGGGGCCGGAGGTACAAAGTGGGGGGCAGATACAGGCACAGCTCCACACGGGAAAAATGTCCCAGGGCCAAAGTCTTAAATGCAACCACACGCGCACGCACGCACGAGCCCCGGGCCGCTCGTTGATTAGCGAGCACGGCAACCGGTTACTGTGGTCGTATGCAAAACTTCAGGGGGCTTGTCACTTACAAAATGCCATATTTTGAGAAACCCAAGTGGCTCAAGAGGTCAAAGTGCTGAGCTAAGCTGTGACTTTGGGTACGAATGGAGGTCGCTGCTAGTGACTGAACTGTTAAACTGCGCTCCCAAGCATGGCGGAGTTGATGATGTAAGTCCAGTTCACCAATGACTGCACAAAAAAAGACTCCTCACATTAAATTTGGGCTTGCACCTAATTTTGTTGAATTTCAACTCTGCGAGTTAAATAAATATCCATTTGACTCTCATGCGATGCTCATTGCTCTGTCAAGCGGGGTGGATGTGAAAACGCTGCGCCCCAATGTGTAGAGTGAAGGTCATCTGAAGAGGCTTCTCAGCAGCAATTCTACAATTTCCACTTCCACGGGCCCAAACGGATTTGTCTCAAGACACAACACCAAAAGCACAATCTGGACAAAATTGCAGAGAAGGACAAATCGTTTATATTTTGTTGCATTAAAATAAAACACGAGTTTAAAAAAAAAACTACTCAGTTAAGAGTTCTCCAAACTGGAGGGCGCAGGTGCATCCCGGCACGATGAAATTACGTCGTCGGCAGTTTCTAATGGGGTGCGCCTCTGGAAATCTAAAAAGAAAAACATTTACTGTACAAACGAAACAGGAGGCACACTCGCGACTAACCCAACGCACACTGCTATAGCTCCCTCCTTGAACAAAAAAATGTAATTATAAAATACCGCCACTTACAGCGCGGGCTAACGAGCGGCAACAGCTGCGCCGCCAGGGCACGGGTATTTTTATCTGCATTGTGGTGCCCCCCCCCCCCAGCGCACCCCGCCGTGCCCGTCCCGACGTGCCACCTACTTGGCAGCCCCCCGCGCGCGGGCGGCCGTTGCGCAACACCCGCACCGCACCGGGATCCGAGTTCGACTCGGAGGTCGGCGCCACGCTCGGCAAACCTAAATTTAAACCCCCTTCACGCCCCTCTCCCCAGCGCGTGACCTCCGCAGCCGAGCGAGGCACGGTGACCACCTGGTTGCACCGATAAACGGCAATCAACAGCGCGGGGGACGAAGCACGCAGCCGCCCCCCCCCCACCACGCCCACCCTCCGCCACCCGCGTGTTTTTTACAAGCTCAACGAGGGCGGCTCACACGCCGAGGGTGAGGGTTCAGGTTGCGGGTTAGCTTTTGGATTAGGGGGCACGGAGGAGCGAGGGTGGAAGCATCGAGAGTCCAATTGGGCGGCAGTGGCAGCGGCAGGTGGTGCCGAGGTTCCTTGCCCAGCAGATTCTCGGCGCTGCCGTTCAACTCGAGCAAGCGGCAGCGAACCACGGCAACCACGGCAACCACGGCAACCGCGGCAACAACGGCAACCACGGCAACCACGCTGAATCGAACCGCAGCTCGAGGAGGCGAGCCCTGCCTTTCACCGCTCGCACACAGCGACGCGACGGGGACCATCTCGAGTTCTAGAGGCGGAGACATTCCCCGGAGCGTCCAAATGTTGATCTGTGCCCGTCAATGCACGAGGCGAGGGAGGGTGTGGAATAGAAAAAAAAATGAAAAAAAATATGAAAAAAAATAAGCGGAGAAGTTCGTTGCCGCTGATCTTGTGACGCCGGCTATGCCGCCGGAGGAAGCGTGGCGAAGGTGAGGTACCCGGTATGTCCCGGCATCTCCCTGGGGGGGCAGCCCGCCTTGAAGCTGTAAACCCCCCGCGCACTGTCCACGACCCCCACGGGCACGGCGTGCGGGGCACGGGGCCGCCCCCCCCCATCGCCGGACGCCCGGACGCCCCCCTGCCCCAGGTCCGGAACCTGCGCCAAAAACACGCGCACCGGAATATACGCCATCAGCTGCCGCCGGGAATTTGACGAAGCAAGGACGACTTCCCGCAGGAATACGTTTGCTCGTGCGGCGGCGCGGCCTTCGATAGGGCCATGCCCTTTAACGGGCGCATCAATGCAACCTGTGAACACGTGTACACGTGGTGACACGCGTATGCATTCATTGTGGCGACGCCCGACCGTCAACCCGTGCTCGTAATTACACAGACGAGGATTGTAGAGCGTCTGAGCGCAGGTGCACATCGACTCGCAACATCTCCCACATCCGTGGGCGCGCACTTCCGCAGACCTGCGTAGGTGCTTGTACTCGCGCGGACTCACGTGAACTTGGCTCTTCAAACACGGATATCGCGTGAATTTGCTTAACCCAGGGCTGCCACATTTGCCACTCGTGGTGCCCGCACTACCGCTTGCAGCGTGCACTACCGCCGTCACGGGTGCCCACCGCCCGTACGTGCGCGTCTTTGTGTGACCGCTAGCATGCACGCGCGTGTCCGCCGGTGCGCGTCCACGCCGGTGCGCACGTCCACGCCGGTGTGTGCGGTACCGGCAGGTTGATGGTGCGGACGTCGAGCGGGCGCAGCAAGACCTCGAGGGTGGAGGGCTCCACGAAGCCGAGCCCCGCGAGCGCCTGGCACGTGCGCTGCACCTGCTCGATGCACGGGGAGAAGGAGCAGATGCGCCCGCCTGCACCGACACACGCGCGCACGGGAACCGCTTTTAGCGCCGTGGACTCTCGGGGTGAGCGTCGTTCGCGAGCAGCTCTTGGGAATGCCGTGGGCAACACGACGGGATGGTGTGGCCAGAAAAACTCCAAACGACCGTCTTCTCCCCAGTGCCGAGGTTGGCGCACAGGACCAAGTACATGCTCGTGCAAGGCCGAGTTAGACTGGCCGAGGTTCAGGAGAGGTTATCCATGGCCAAGACGCGAGCACAGGCAGGCGAGCTCACTCGGCAAAACTTCACGCACCGGGCAACAGGCGGTCGTTCGCAGCCTCTGCTGCACCGTCGACGTTGAAGATGCTGCAGCGTCTTAAGGTCCGTCGCAAGAGTGAGCCATTGTGTTTGTGTCGGCGTCATAGCCGTGGTGCGGACAATCAACCAACACTACAGATGCAATGAACAGCTGTGTCAAGGTGGTCTACGCGAGCCCAGGTCTCCCCCGCTAAATGGGATGAGGAATCTCACTGAACTCTTACACAATGCAGATTTCACAGATTCACATGATGGTAAATTCACAAGTGAAGAAATGAATCAAATTCATGAACTGCGCTGTGACCCCAAATTGCGACCTCTCATCGCATCACGGAGGTGGGGGTGAATGGTGGAAGTGGGGGGCAAATCAAGGAGATGAGGGGCGAATCAAAAGAGGAATGCGAATAAAAGAGATGGGGCGAATCGCGAAGTCGGGGGTCAATGTCGTGGCACAGACCCGAGGTCTTCATGGCGTCGCGTGCGTGGGGGACAGCATCCCAGGGCGAGGGGATGTCGAGGAAGACGGCGTCGGCTACGCCGGCGACGCCGAATCCCTCGCGGCAAACGTCCCGGCAGCGCACGGTGGCGAGCCGCCCCACGCCGTGCCGCTCAAACTCCTCGGCGGCGCTGGCCGCTCGCTGCTCGTGGAACTCCACCGTGTGCAGGTGGCCCGAGGGCGCGATGGTGCGCAGCAGCGCGTGCGACAGCGAGCCGCTCCCCGTGCCTGTGGGGGCGAGGGGCGGGACACGGGCGGGACGATGACCACGCCATTAGCCCTCGCTCGCACAAAGCTAGCCCCCCGGTTCGTTGTTGCTCGAATTGGATTGGCCGAACGAATTTAATCGGACCAAACAGCCACCTTTTGAGGGGACGCGACAAGCCACCGCCAGGTCACGGCAGGTTAGAATGGGTTAATCGCAATTCTGGAGTGGTGGCGCAGTGGTCGGCAGCGCACTGTGACGATTCACCTGGGAATCGTTTTTTCTTCCCTGCCGTGCAAAGGCTCCAATTTAAACAGAAAACACAGATGGCGTCTGTCACACGAGTCACTGTTTTCACTTTTGTGTTTCCATTAGTAGTACTTACAACTAATTTGCATCTTGTACATAATCAATTGTTACATTGCACGATCCGATTCATGTACCTCCAGCGTGAGAATCGACTGAAACTGACGATTATGATTCGATGCATCCTCGTTGCATGTCCACCAATCAGACACAAGCGCGGGTCCTTCCAATGGCCCTAACCTGACCCCTATCACCACTTCTATTTGGCCGGTGCCCCTTTTCGCGTACTGCTCAATTTTTATTTTGCGTATTCACAGAACCATGCAGCTTCACAGAGAGCTTGGTCTCAAAACACATTTACAACATTAGCCATAGTAATAGGTTTTTTACCCTTTCAACTGATACAAAACTGACACCTTTATACAAGGGATCATGTTTGCATCATTATCATAATGATCATTATCATTATCAGAGTTGTTTCTTTTTGTTTGCATTTTAACTGCTTGTGTTGTAGTTATTGCAAACATGATCCCTTGTATAAAGGTGTCAGTTTTGTACCAGTTGAAAGGGTAAAAAACCTATTACTATATTTTGCCACTGGTAAAGGAGATGTCTCATAACATTAGCCATGTCCCAGCAACCGCAAACAGCGGCGCATCTGGAGAAGCCGACCACCGCCGTCAACGCCACCGCCGCCGCAACGACGACAACAACGCACCGGACTCGCACACCACCGATCCAGGCCGCAGGTCCAGCATGAGCGTCACCATGGCGATGTCGGTGCTGTAGAGGATCTGCGTGCGGTGCGGCAGCGATCGCGTCCAAAGCTCGGGCGTCGGGTGCAGCGCGTAGGCCCAGCCGCCCGTGCGGCCGCAAGCCACGCGCGAGCCGAACGGGCGTCCCAGCAGCGCGTCCGAGTGGCGCACGGCGCCGAAGCGCGTCTGCGTGACGGCGCCGGCCTTGGCCCGCACAGGCAGCAGCGCGTCGTGGCCCAGGTAGAGGATGACCGTGTCGCCGTCGCGCACCCGCGCGCCGTACTCCGCAAAGCTCATGTCGCCCGAGATGCGAGCGTCGCGCGTTCGCTTGGTCGCTCCCTTCTCCTGCTGTTGGGCGTTGGACGAGGGTCAGGGGGGCGTGGTAGGCGATCACGTGTACAGTTCGACCTCGTTGCATCTCTTTATCAATCCACTGCTTGATGAGGGTTCTCCTGCATGCCGTGCAGTGCGTGGGGCTGGTTCGACTACTCTATTTCAGCAAGCCGGTCGGCGACGGTTGGTGAACGCGGAAAGCATAGATGTGAGAGCGTTGTTGTACAGTACCGCAATTGATTTTACTGCAATGCCCTCTGATGCCCACCACATAACCCCACAGCCTACAGCAACCTGTTAGTAAATGGAGGTCACCCGCCCAAGCACGCTGAAGGCTCAACTCGGCTTAACTTCGGTGAGATCAGGTGCATTCTGGGTGAAGAGGTCAAAGGCACGTAATCACAATTATATTAAAATTGTGCTCTTGGCGGTGCTGTTGTCGCGAGGTGACAAAACATTCGTTTGAAACTCCAGCGGCGAGCGGTGCACCACCTTGTGCCCTGGAAGACGTTACAAAATTAATCCTTGAACATCAGCATCAGCAGGTCTCTTTGTCCACACATATGGGGGTGGCGATGGATCAGTGTCCAAGGCGCAACCCTCGTCGGTACCCGGGCGCCCCCCCCCCCCCCCCAACGCTCGCGCCGTTCGTTTGCCGCCGCAATCAGACGGACGCGTCTAATTTTCAGGTATGGAATCTAGTCAGCTTCAGTGAAAAAACTAGATTACATAAGTAGTAGATTTGAAGCTTTCGTGACTGCAAGGATTCATATTCTTAGGTTTTTTCCGGTAAAGTCACGTAGGTAAAAAATTCAAATTAATAAAAGTAAAATAAAAAACCTAAGAATATAGATTACATAACTCGCTACACTTGAGAGCCCGGTTTAAACACAGGTGGCTGACGGCCAGATTTCAGGAGTGCTGGCTCAGAATGTATCTCTGACACCGTGTCACGAGGCCCCCTCGTATACAATTTATATCTCACGACAATTTACATCTCATAGATGGGTTTCAAGTATATTTTGTTTCACAAGGTGAGATCTTAAGAGAACAGGATAGTCTAATTTGCTAAAGTTACCTGGGGCATTACTCTGCCAGTCGGGGGCGATGATGGCTCTGCTTTAAAAAAAAAGTTTATTTACACATTTATTTATTTTTATTTCGACCCTAGCGCCGGCACACAACGGCCTCCTGCTGCGAACAACGTCAGCGGATCATTAACTTCCACTATTAAACAGACGGCGCTTGTATTATTACGCGGTATGCTTTTCATTACCAAATAATAAGTCACTTTGTTGAGCTATCATTTGTGGCCAGGTAGCATCTGTAAAGAGCTATAAAGCTCAATGGGCCTTACCTGGTAAAGTAAAAAAAAAATTTTCATAGTTTTTAGTTTAGCTGCACCCGCGGTATTAACCAGGGCGGCCGATAGATTTGAACCCCGAACCTCCGCAACAACGAGCAGCGAACGCGCTGCCGCTACAGGCCTGCGTCATCGCCCAACATTAACGAAGATAGCGAGGAGGGAAAATGTGATTTGAAAACAATCAGGGCGAGCAAACCCCGGGGGGATTGCATCGGGATGATTGCGTGATGTGCGATAGACGCATAAGGTAAGAGGAGGTACGAACTGAATGCGGGAGATCTGAGACTCCTGGAAAATGTGGAAGAAGCTACAAGCGAGCCCTGGTGGAAGAACAGCCGATGACACAAAAGAAGAGGGAATCCGCGATGATGGAGAATAGTGCAGGACTGCTGCTGTCAGACCAACACTGCGAGCGACTGAAATTTACGATGGAGTTGATTCGTGGGCCAGTTACAAAAACCCACATTCGCTTGTTTTACTCTGGATTGAAAAACACGCGACAGTTCGTCAAGCTAACTTGTGCTACCCAGCTGACCACAGGGCTCCCGTGTCGTAACCTCACAAACAACAGCGTTCGGGACCCCACAGAATCCGCGATTGAATCCTCAACATACGCGGCCACCGTGCCACTCACACCACAGCGAAGACTGCTACTCCACGTGTTAGTCCCCTCCTACCTGAGTCTGCTACTCCACGTGTTAGTCCCCTCCTACCTGAGTCTGCTACTCCACGTGTTAGTCCACTGCTACCTGAGTCTGCTACTCCACGTGTTAGTCCCCTGCTGCCTGAGTCTGCTACTCCTTGTGTTAGTCCCCTCCTACCTGAGTCTGCTACTCCTCATGTTAGTCCCCTGCTACCTGAGTCTGCTACTCCTCGTGTTAGTCCCCTGCTACCTGAGTCTGCTACTCCTCGTGTTAGTCCCCTCCTACCTGAGTCTGCTACTCCTCATGTTAGTCCCCTGCTACCTGAGTCTGCTACTCCTCATGTTAGTCCCCTGCTACCTGAGTCTGCTACTCCTCGTGTTAGTCCCCTGCTACCTGAGTCTGCTACTCCTCGTGTTAGTCCCCTCCTGCCTGAGTCTGCTACTCCTCGTGTTAGTCCCCTCCTACCTGAGTCTGCTACTCCTCGTGTTAGTCCCCTCCTACCTGAGTCTGCCACTCCTCGTGTTAGTCCCCTCCTACCTGAGTCTGCTACTCCTCGTGTTAGTCCCATCCTACCTGAGTCTGCTACTCCTCGTGTTAGTCCCCTGCTACCTGAGTCTGCTACTCCTCGTGTTAGTCCCATCCTACCTGAGTCTGCTACTCCTCGTGTTAGTCCCCTCCTACCTGAGTCTGCTACTCCTCGTGTTAGTCCCCTCCTACCTGAGTCTGCCACTCCTCGTGTTAGTCCCCTCCTACCTGAGTCTGCTACTCCTCGTGTTAGTCCCATCCTACCTGAGTCTGCTACTCCTCGTGTTAGTCCCCTGCTACCTTAGTCTGCTACTCCTCGTGTTAGTCCCCTCCTGCCTGAGTCTGCTACTCCTCGTGTTAGTCCCATCCTACCTGAGTCTGCTACTCCTCGTGTTAGTCCCCTGCTACCTGAGTCTGCTACTCCTCGTGTTAGTCCCCTCCTGCCTGAGTCTGCTACTCCTCGTGTTAGTCCCCTGCTACCTGAGTCTGCTACTCCTCGTGTTAGTCCCCTGCTACCTGAGTCTGCTACTCCTCGTGTTAGTCCCCTCCTGCCTGAGTCTGCTACTCCTCGTGTTAGTCCCCTCCTGCCTGAGTCTGCTACTCCGCGTGTTAGTCCCCTCCTGCCTGAGTCTGCTACTCCTCGTGTTAGTCCCCTCCTGCCTGAGTCTGCTACTCCGCGTGTTGCGCCCGAGGCCTGGACTGCGCAAAGAGGCCCCTCTACTAAGACCCCCCCCCCCCCCCCCACCGAATCTACCCAAAGCACCTGGGGGGGGGGGGGTGAGCTGCCCTGTCCCGTACCCTCCTCCTGTGCTGCCCCCCCCCCCTTCAACCTGCCCCCCCTCACCCTGCCCTCTTACCCTGCCCACGCTGCCCCCGTCTGCTGCCCCGGCACCCGCGTTCGAGCCTGTTCCGACACGGCGACTATCCGCGCTGGGAAATGTAGAGACCGCCTTGCCTACGCGCCTATCTGTGGTAGGAAATGTAGTGCGCTTTCCCGACGTCGCCTATCCGTGTTGGGAAATGCAGACGTTGGTTCGCGAGAATACCTATTAGTGGTAGGGAATTAAGAGTGCTCCTACAGCCGCTTATCCGTGTTAGGAAATGCATGGTTGGCCGACATAACGTGTTGCAAATGTAATACAAAATGTGGGCACGTGTTCAGTAGGTAAAAAATTAACCCGTAAAAACAAAGTTTTTCACTATAAATCCTTTATATGCGTGGCGGCTAGAGTCATCTCGTCCTCTGGCTTGAGATGGCTGCCACCTATGGGTCAGATGATTGCCTGCCACCATTAAGCAATTGGTAATTAAATATAACAAAACATTTCCTAAAAAGTGTAAAAATAAAATAAAAAAATTCACGAACATTAATTGGCTCGCACAACGAGTCTGTGTGCAAAATGTCAGCTCGATTGGATCACGGGAAGTGGGTTAAAAAAACGACCGAAAGATTTGTACGGTGGTAAGCGTGCAAGCAAGCAAGCAAGTGAACTTAATATAAAGGATTTAAAAATGTAGAGGCCCATGCCAATCCTCTGCTGGATGACCATACTTCACCACAAGGCCGTAATTATAATATATACACACCACCCCCCCCCCCCCATATTCAAATGTGCTCATAATGTCCCCCCCAAATATATTGCTATAAACAAATTAATTGCTATGTAAATAAAAACAACAATTTGATAAACCTCGGCCACAATATCTGGACTTGTGTTCATATAAATCAATGCATACATTTCTGTTTATATGATTGTGGTTATGGTTGTACTTTATTAATCCCTAATCTCTGCCAAAAAAAAGTAAAAACAGAGCAATGTAATACAATACACTATTAGACATTATTGTAAATTTCTATCAAAAGTCCATCCCATGTGTTAAGGGCCCAACTTATTTCGCAGATCAATAAAATAAATTCTGACATGTCCACGTGTTTTTTTGCGATCAGTAACTGCTTAATCTCGATACGAGGACACGTCAAAGTGAGTAATTAAACCAAGGTTTGATTTTTTTTATTATGTAATAAGAGCTTTGATGAAGTAAGCTTGCATTTCGTGTTGGAAAATTATAAGGAATTTATGTGCTTGTGCAATTTGAACTTATATACTATTTTTTTGTTATCTATTTTTATTGACTTGCTTACCTTTTCTGTATTTTGCACTCCTGTGATATATTTTTTTGGTATTGGTTGTTGTTGTTGTGACTTGCTCACCGGCCCCTACTGTGAGAGACAGAAAAAAGAGCTTCATAGCTCATCGGATTCCTCCAGGATAAAATAAAGACTCCGAGTCTGACCTCCATCATAGAGGCTCGATGACCTCAAATGAAATCCAATTGGAACACGGTGGCACCACTGGGGCAAGATGCCCCCCTCCCCGCACCCCTTCACGTGCCCCAGTAATACATCAAAACGGGCATCTGAATTTAAACTTGCCAGATCCAAGCACTGACGATGAGCCAAAGGTCGTGCTGACTCGACTCTAATAAAGCACCACGCCTGACACAAAATGTGTTGATGCAGCCCACGAGAGGGCGATTAATGGGGGATCAACATGCAGGATCGTAGCCGAGACAGTGGACATCAGAACTGGCTCAGTGCATTCCATCGTAACTCAAGACTTGGCCACGTGGAAAAAGGTGTCAGCAAGATGATGGGTGATCAGAATGTCACGCGCTGATCACATGGGGGGGCTCAAGTTGAAATTTAAGAGGACATCTTAGGAGCGGGTCCAAGCAGGCCCAGAGGATCTCCAGGGCAGGACTGCGACTCGGGATGCGACATGGGCTCACCACTTTGATCGTGAAACCAAACAGCAGACCGTGCAGTGGTAGCGCACACACAATCTCTCCGCCTCCCAAGCGGTTCATGAAGCAGTCATCAGTTTGGACAAGTCATGGCAACAGTTTTCGGGAACGGTGGCGAGGGGGGGGGGATGATTGTGGGGAGCGCGAGTGCTGATTCGCCACGACTGTTGCTAAAAGTCATTCGGGAGCGGGCTGTGTGGGAAGTAGCGTTCAGAAGCGCCGCCTCTCCAGGACAACGCACTGCAAGCGCAGATCGCCGTGACCACACCGGGACTTAAACCCAGTGCCGCCTAAAATCACGCCAAACCTTCTGCATCACTGCAGCTTCACTCCCACGCCACAAATGCAGGCGACAGAGAGATGGAAGCGAGAGTCTGGGGCTGCGGCCGACGTCGAAAAACAAAATACCTCTCGCTGTATGAGGTATTTTATCTTCTTGGTTCTTTTGGTAAAGTCACGTAGAAGGGAAATAATAAAAGAATAATACCTCTCGATTTAAAGCTTTCGTGACTGCAGGGATTCATCTTCTTGGTTCTTTCGTCTGAACGCTGTCTTTCTGACAGCCCTGTTCTTCACCTGAGGACGGCTGCTTGCGTTGTGGCCGAAAAGTCGTGAGAATTTTATTTTATTGTTTTCTTTTTATTATTTTATTATTTCCCTTCTACGTGACTTTACCGAAAGAATCAAGAAGATAAAATACCTCGTACAGCGATACTTATCGAACCTCCCGGTTTTAACCTTCCACGCCGCCAATGATCGACCATCAACCGAATCGGGACCGGGCCACGTGGCCGATGCGGTCACCCGATGCCACAAATGGCGCCTCGAAGATTCGGCGGTCTGAGCGGAGTGCAGCCACGAATCCCAAAAACCCTCGAACCACGTGGTCAACACTCCGCCGCTGCTGCTCCGGCTGGCTTCACTCCATTAAAGGAGGAACGGACGAGATCCACTCCGCGTCTGAACAAAAGACAGTTGAGTGGATAGCAGCATCCGAAATGACATCTTTTATTAATCCACGCGAAAGAAGGAGATCGCAGTGGCCACGGTGGCTCGGACTTGCCCCATCCAGCCGTTTGGACACAACGATTCGATCGGACGTGCAGCTGTCGGCCCCCACGTTGACGCCAGAGATTTAAGGCGAGGCAGGCCATATACCCTCCCTTGGTTTCCCAACATCGACCCACGTGGATAAGCCCCCCCCCCCCCCCCCGTCAAATTCAATATACAGCAATCCCCACGCCCCCGTCTCTGTGCGAGTGTGGGCGCTGTTGTGGCGCCTTCAGTGTTCCCACCCCTCCTTCCTCTTCCATCTCTCCCTCTTCCACACCGCCTTCTCGCATTCACTCATCTCTTCACCCCCCCCCCCATTCCTCCAATCCTCACTCCCTGTCCTAGCCCAACCCCTCTCTCTGTCATCCACTTAGTCTTGGTTCTTTCGGTAAAGTCACGTAGGTAGAATTTTTAAATAACAAAATAACAATGAAAAATGTATTGAAAATAATCAAAGCAAAAAACCCACGACGTTTCGATCGCAACGCAAGCGGTCTTCATCCACTTGCAAATTCCCTCTCTCCTCCCTCCATCTCACCAACGCTCCCACCCACCATGACCCCCCACCCCCCTTTACCACCACCCCCTTCTATCGTGATGGCGCATGTAGTTGCTAAGTTTGGGAACCAAAACACCGCCACTTTCGCGGCGTGTGCACAGCACGCACGCGCGAGCACGCAGCCCACGTTTGCAGCCGTCAGCAGCGAGAAACCCGATACGCACAGGACACGGAGTTCGTGAGCAGCTGATGAGCCGGGTAGAGGGGGGCGGGTGGACAGACAATTGGCCCTTATGTATCCTGCATTCACACACACGAGACAAACATCCTCCCGTGTAGCCTGAACAGACCTTTTGGGCCAAGTGCTGCGAGCGAGCATCGATGAAGGTCGGGACGGCACACGAGGGGGTGGGTGGCCAGCAACCACGCCCGGCCGCCTTTGTCTCCCTAATGGCGATGTTTACACACTGCACCAGGAACTCATTTGAGGCTGGGTCGACCTAAGGGAGGTCCAATACCGGTTCAGATAATCGTCACTGGTGTTAGGCGCGGGAATCGAACTCGGGTCCCGAGGTTCGTAGCGCAGCGTAGCGCTAACCGCTACACCACCGCTCCCCTAGCACACACACACACCGGCACACACACATGCCAGCACAACAGATACATATCACTCAGCACAACCGATCCACCCCACACACACACACACAATCGCTGACACGCCACGCACTCACACACTGACCACTGCCACCGGCCATCTCACACACGCAACAGCTGCAGTTCACCACGAAGTGGCGGTGACGTTACCACTGCACGTGTGCCAGGCTAAGTGCACTTTGAGGCCACGTGAAGAGTTATGAGTTGACTGTTTGAGATGACTGACAGATGCACCACCTTCGAATGCGACTCCCTCGAACCGCCCAGCAGCTCTCAAAGTGCACCTAGCCTGGCACTGCCCAGTAGCGTCCTTCACGAGCCTCCTCCACAGAACCCGATCTTGACACAGCTGGTACCAGTCACCGGCAAATCCCATCAGCTCCACATCCTCCCGTACCACATCAGTCCAATCTCATCTCCAGCCGGTGTCGTGCCCGTTCAGCCCTCTCTAACCGGCCGAACAAAAGCTGCCTGGGCATGCGGTGGCTGGGCACGCGGGCTACACGGCCCAGCCAATGCAGCCGTGCCTGCCAGAAGAGCTCACGGGTCCGTAAACATAAAAAAAAACAATTAAGATAAAAATGGAGACGCCGCTTCCATACAAAATAAAGCAACCACAAATACCACCCCCCCATATAGCATTTACCAGAAATAGTAATTCCTGCAGTCACGAAAGCTCCAAATCAAGTTTATTTACCAGACTGTTGGGGCAAGTGCTGTTAGCGAGCACCTATGAAGGTCGGCACGGCACACTAGGGGGTGGGTGGCTTGCCCCACGCCCGGCCGCCTTTGTCTCTCTAGTAGCGATGTTCATACACCACAACAGGTACGTTTTTGCGGCTGAGTCGACCTAGGGGGAAGCCGAGCACCGGTTCAGATAATCGTCACCGTGGTGTATGGCCGTGAGCGGAACTCGAAATCTGGTCGCCGGGTTCGTAGCGCAGCGCTCTGACCGCTACACCACCGCTCCCCACTGCACTACCACTGACCCCTCACACACACAGACCCCTTGTCTTACACACGCTGACCAATGACAGACCCTCACGCACACACACACACAATGACAACCTCACACACACGTGCACACTGATACCCCTTCGCTCACGCACTCCACGTATCTCACCCACCCCCTCTCCCCTTCCACCCCATTCCTGAAGGGGCGTTGGACGGGAATGGGCACTGCGGAGGGGTGGTGAAGAGGGGGGGGGGGCACGGGGGGGGGGTGGAGAGGGGGGGCACGGGGGGGGGAGAGAGAGGGGTGGCACGGGGAGGGGGTGGAGAGTCCCCAGGATAAAAACCCCGCGACTCGCCCTTGAGCCTCGGGTCGCGTCGCCGCTGCCACCGACTTCTGATTTCTCCGCTGGTCGCTCCGTGCCCGCCAGGTGAGTCCACGCGTGGCTTCCACGAGCAGGCGATTTCTGCTGCGCCTGGCCACGCGACCGAGGCAGAGGAAACAGCAGATCAAATGTGCTGTTCACGTGAGAAACACAGTCTAGGACTTGCCCGCGCTTGAGAGCAGCTCCCTCTAACCCTTGCCAACTTAACGGTGCCGCTCGGGGCTTCTGGGTGACGCGCGCGAACAGGAACCGGCGGTGTTTGTGCACGCGCAAGGTGACCTGTGGATGTCTCTCTCTCTCTGTGTGCGTGTAACGTGAAGTTGTAATGTGTCGTGCGAGAGTCTGGGCCGTGTAGCACTGTGGCCCTGTGGACAGCAGGAGGACGGGACTTCTAGGACGCGGGCATTCAACGGAGGGATTCAAAGTTTTTTAAAAAATAATTGGGCTGACGTCCCAATTTGGGACCCTCCTTAAGCGCGGTCATGAGACTCAGTAAATGTTTCGGAAATTAAATGAACGGCACTTTCATTAACGAATGCCGTTTACAGCTGTAAATGTTTCTATCTCTATAGCTCTCAAGAAGGGTCTTGCACGAAACGTTAGCACAGACAGTGCTGTTAGTAAAGAGTAGATCATGTGTGTGTGTATGTTCACTTTGGACCCATGTGACACTCTGGGTTCTCGTTGGCAGTTTGTAGTTGGTAACGGTTTACTGATGAGCGGCAATAACGTTGTCGGGTCTCCTCCAAGGCACGAGTGAAAGAGCTGTCCGCGAAGAGACGAGTGAGAAACATTTATCTTGAACGTTCACCCCATGGAGTGTGTAGCATGTGCTTACATGGAATGTGTAGACATTGCTACGTGTGTATGTGTACGATGTGGAGTATGCATAGTGTGTCGTATCCTAAAGTATGTGCAAACTACTCTACAGTGTCTATTAATAGCGATGTGTACATAATGTACTATTATACTATATAGTGCATATAGAGTGCAAATATAAGTTGTCTATGTACGTACGTGTGCAATTAGAGTTGTGCGGTAATGTAGCGGTTCGCGCACTCTGCTACAAACCCAGAGACCCGAGTTCGACCAACATCAGTGGCGAATTCTGAAGTGGATCTGGTTCGCCCCGAGGTTGACTAGGCCTTAAATGACTATCTGAAGACAAATACGGCGCGGCGCTGGCCACACCACTCCCTCGTGTTTCATATTGGGTGCTGCAGGCTAACAGCCCTTGCCCCAACAGTCTGTAATGTCTATATGGCGATGTATGGGTGGAGCCTTTCATATTAAAAACTGGTGTAGTTGCATTCGTTTAAACCAGGAAGACAATTTCAGTCGGGAGTGGTGCTGGCTACCTTTAATGGGTGCTCGCTAACAGCCCTTGCCCCAACAGTCTGTAATGTCTATATGGTGATGTATGGGTGGAGCCTTTCATATGAAAAACTGGTTTAGTGCGTTCGTTTAAACCAGGAAGGCAATTTCAGTCGGGAGTGGTGCTGGCTACCTTTAATAGGTGCTCGCTAACAGCCCTTGCCCCAACAGTCTGTTATCGTCGCTGTCTCGCGGGAGACGGTGATGCCGGTGGTGATGATCATGATGGTGGTTCGCCTCGGGGCGGTTAAAGCGCTGAGACGTGGACTTTGCTTGAGGATGCTCAGTTTGGTACGGGACCCTGACCCTACCCGACCTCATCGGACTAGAACCCAGAGCTGACGATTTGACAAGACTCAAGCAGACCCAATCCTGAGCCGATTTCAACTGCCCTGACCAAATCCGAGATGCAACCAGAAACACAATCTGGGACTTGACGCGCTTGAGAACAACTCCCTAACCCTTGACATCTGAACGGTGCAGGGGTTCTGGGTGACGCAAGCAGCAAGGTGACCTGTTGATGGTTCTCTCTCTCTCTCTGTGCGTGTAACGTGATGTTGTAATGTACTCTTAGGTTTTTTCGGTAAAGTCACGTAGGTAAAAAAGAATAATAAAAATAGAAAAAATAATAGAAATAAAATAATAAATCACGACGTTTTGGAGGCAATACAAGCTTCCGTCGTCAGGTGGAACCGTTACAGCACGAGTGATTTATTATTATTTTTCTATTATTTTTTTTAAATCTTTTTTTACCTACGTGACTTTACCGAAAAAAACTAAGAGTATGAAACCTTGCAGTCACGAAAGCTTCAAATCTAGAATTTGTTTTCTTCATCTCTATGCTCTCAAGAAGGGTCTTGCCCGAAACGTTAGCACAGACAGTCAGACAGTGTGTTAGTAAAGAGTAGATCATGTGTGTGTGTGTGTATGTTCACGAGGACCCATGTGACACTCTGGGTTCTCGTTGGCAGTTTGTAGTTGGTTACGGTTTGCTGATGAGCAGCAATAACGGCCAAACGTTGTCGGGTCTCCTTCAAGACACGAGTGAAAGAGCTGTCCGCGAAGAGACGAGTGAGAAACATTTATCTTGAACGATCACCCCATGGAGTGTGGAGCATGTACTTACATGGAATAGGTTGTTGGGGGGCGCCGCCCAACAACATACTATGTTGTTGGGGGGCTCCAGCAGTGGGGAGAGCGCGGCACTATTAGTGTGTAGACATTGCTACGTGTGTGTGTACGATGTGTAGTATGCATAGTGTGTAGTATCCTAAAGTATGTGCATACTTGTGAAATGTCGACAGTGTCTATTTATATCGATATGTACATAGTGTACGCATTATAACACTATATAGTGCATATAGAGTGTAGACCCAATCCTGAGCCGATTTCACTTGCCCTGACCAAATCCGAAATGCAATCAGACTCGAGTCAACCTGTGTCGACCTGCAGGCCTTACCTGACGGACACAGATCCATCCAATGTCGACTTAACATCACTCGACTAAGCCCAAGTTGTTTGGTTATTTTATTGATATCCCCTCCATAGGATTCTATAATCTCCACCACTGGTTAAGAAATTCAAACGGAGATGATGATGATGATGATCAATACCCATTCCCCCTTTAGACAAGAGGACATCTCATTTTGAATCACGAGATGTTTACGCCTCTTCCACCTCCCGACCGCACAGAACTCAACCGCAGCCATGCCGTTCGGAAACACCCACAACAACTTCAAGCTGAAGTTCTCCAGCGAGGAGGAGTTCCCGGACCTGAGCGTGCACAACAACCACATGGCCAAGGTGCTCACCCCCGAGATCTACAGCAAGCTTCGCGACAAGCAGACGCCCAGCGGCTACACACTCGACGATGTCATTCAGACCGGCGTCGACAACCCAGGTAAGGGAGCCGCCTCGTGGCGTTCTCGACCCCCGTAGAACCCGGCCCATCCGAGCGCGCGACATCCTCGATCAGAGATCCCTCTCCTCGTTGTTTGCCCCAAACCAGCGGTGGCCAGCTTCTTGGTTCTTTCGGTAAAGTCACGTAGAATGTAAATAATAAATAATAAAACATGTAAAAAAAATTTTTACACATATTATTTTATTATGTTTTATATATAAATCATAAATAATAAACCATAATAGAATAATATAAAAATATTATTTTATTATGTTTTATATATTTTTTTTTATTATTTCCATTCTACGTGACTTTACCGAAAGAACCAAGAAGATGAAGATGAATCCCTGCAGTCACGAAAGCTTTAAATCGAAATTTAAGGTGGCCAGCTTGCTCGAGACAAAAAGCCAAAGTGTACCCGTGAGTTCTGCAAAGAGCCAAGGGTATGGTATGTATATATATATAACATTATATAATACAACTTTATCATACAACTTTAATTCATGCCCTTTCGATAGAGCGAGCCGCATGTGGCTCAGCAGACGCCAGTTGGCCACCCGCCGCTCCAAACTCAACTCGATCCCGTCTCACGCTGCCTCCTCTCTCGCGGGTTTCAGTCAACTGGAATGAGAATAAGACGTATAATTCTGCACCTCCACCAGGCTCTGTCATTTCACGGGGCCGCCCCAGATCCACCGCGATCGTTGGGAAAACGCGCAGGCCACGGCAAGACCACGCGCGTAATCACCCCTCGGCCCGCAGATCGCGTCAAGCACCGAGCCCGGCACGCGATGCCCGCGACAATGCCGCCGTCTGTGCGGCGTCACGCCTCGTGCGTTTAAGGGAAACCGCGTGGAAGCACGCGGTGGGGTGGGGGGCTGGGGCAAGCGAGTGTTGGAGAAACACGTGGGGGGGGGGGCGTGTTTTCGTTGGATGCTCGATCCGAGCGACGGTCGGATGGAGCGAGTGAGCGAGCGAGCGAGCGGAGAGCCATGATCGTGTTGCACGCGGTGGAACAGAGGACGGCTGTGTTCGCGATCGGGCCAGGCAGCTCTCTGAGCCTCGGCGTCAATCGAGCCCTTGTGCCGCTGGGTCGCTGCTGCTGCTGCGTCTCGCCCCTACTAATCCAGCCTGCCCCCTCTGCCCCCCCCTCAATGCCTCACCACCACCACCACAGGCCACCCCTTCATCATGACCGTGGGCTGCGTGGCTGGCGACGAGGAGTCCTACGAGGTCTTCAAGGACCTGTTGGACCCCGTGATCAGCGACCGCCACTCGGGCTACAAGCCGACAGACAAACACAAGACCGACCTGAACCCAGACAACCTGAAGGTGGAGAACCCCTCCTCACAGCCAGCCCCCCCCCCCCCACCTCTGTACCACCCGCTCACACCTCTCCCTCATTCCCTACGGGATATTCATTGACACGTGTAAGAGGTCACGGGTCAGTCCACTGCTGCAGGCGAAGGGCCTGCGCGGGTCGCGGCGGTGATTTGACCTCACTCCTTGGATGGCGACGACATCCAGCGGTGGATAGACCACGGCGAACGATAACGACGACCGTCGTGTTTCGCGTGGCAAGGGAGGCGACCAAGCGGCGTTTTGAGACAGCGAGTTGACGCGAGTTGGTGACTTTCTTCCCCTCCCCTCGCCGACCCCGCGACCTCAGGGCGGTGATGACCTGGACCCCAACTACGTGCTCAGCAGCCGCGTGCGCACGGGGCGCAGCATCAAGGGCTACAGCCTCCCCCCGCACTGCAGCCGCGGGGAGCGCCGCGCCGTCGAGCGTCTCTCCGTGGAGGGTGGGCACCCTGCACTACCGCCCTGCACCAAACCCACCCTGCACCAAACACACCCTGCACCAAACACACCCTGCACCCACTTGCCCTGCACTGCAGCTCTACACAACTGTCACGCATGGCCACCCTGTACTGCAATCATACACAACCACCCTGCTCGACCCCCCTGCACGAAGACAATTCAATGTCGCCCTGCACTACCGCCCTGCACTAAACACACCCTGCACCCACTTGCCCTGCACTGCAGCTCTACACAACTGTCACGCATGGCCACCCTGTACTGCAATCATACACAACCACCCTGCTCGACCCCCCTGCACGAAGACAATTCAATGTCGCCCTGCACTACCGCCCTGCACTACCGCCCTGCACTAAACACACCCTGCACCCACTTGCCCTGCACTGCAGCTTTGCACAACTGTCACGCACGGCCAACTTGTACTGCCATCATACACAACCACGCTGCACTACCGCCATGCACAACCACCCTGCACCACCGCCACTCACCACCGTCGCAACCGCATTGCGCCATCGCCCTACATAGTTTCCATACACAATAGCCCTCCTCCTCCAATGTCAACTCCCACCGCCCTGCACAATTGCTCACTCAGCTCCAACAAACGGCCATCACGAGTTAAACACACGCTAGCAGCCAGAATACACACACACACGCTCACAATAACGCAGCAACACACTGCCAGCACCAACACACACGCTCACAATAACGCAGCAACACACAGCCAGCACCAACACACACACACGAACACAATAACGCAGCAACACAGCCAACACCAACACACACACACACACACGCTCACAATAACGCAGCAACACACTGCCAGCACCAACACACACGCTCACAATAACGCAGCAACACACAGCCAGCACCAACACACACACACACGAACACAATAACGCAGCAACACACAGCCAACACTAGCATCAACACACACGCTCACAATAACGCAGCAACACACTGCCAGCACCAACACACACGCTCACAATAACGCAGCAACACACATCCAGCGCCAACACACACACACGCTCACAATAACACAGCAACACAGCAACACAGCATCACACAAACATAAAGATCCTTCATATAGCCATTAACAGACGGTTGGGACCAGTGCTGTTAGTGAGCATTTATGAAGGCCAGCACGGCACGCGGGGGGGGGGGGGGTATCCAGCACCACCTCCCGCCGGGCCGCCTTTGTCTCCCTCGTGACGATGTTTACATACCGCACCAGGTACTCATTTGAAGGCTGAGTCGACCTAGGGGAGGCCCAGGACCGGTTTAGATAATCGTCATTGGTGTTGGCCGTGAGCGGGAATCGAACTCGGATCGCGGAGTTCGTAGCACAGGGCGCACACACACAAGCACACACACACACACCAGTACAAAGATAAAGATCCCCCATATAGCCTTAACAGACTGTAGGGGCAAGTGCTGTTAGCGAGCACCTATGAAGGCCGCAACGGTACACGAGGGGGTGGGTGGCCAGCTCCACGCCCGACCGCCTTTGTCTCCCTAGTGGTGATGTTTACACACCGCACCAGGTTATCATTTGAGGCTGAGTCGACCTAGGGGAGGCCAGGACCGGTTCAGATAATCGTCACTGGTGTTGGCCGTGAGCGGGAATCGAACTCGGGTCGCCGGGTTCATAGCGCAGCGCGCTAACCGCTGCACTACCGCACCCCAGCACACACACCCCAGCACATACATCCATCCCCAGCGCAGCACGCAAAAATACACGTGCAGCCGCTGTGCCACACAGAGCTTGCACTCAACTGCAGTGCTCGTATACACGGCCCCAGCAGGACACTATCTCGCCTCCATCACACTGCCACCGAACCACACGCTCATAAAATAGCGATGGGCGCATAGCCTCGCGGTTGTGCAACAATGTTCTTGATGAGTGGTGCTGAGTGGACAGTGAGTGGTCCAGGCGTGAGTGTCTCTGTCCTTGGTGCTGAATGGACAGTGCGTGGTCCAGAAGTGAGAGTCTCTGCCCGTGCCTTCTGCGCAGCTCTGTCAAAGTTGGACGGAGACCTGAAGGGCAAGTACTACGCGCTCAAGGGCATGTCGGACCAGGAGCAGCAGCAGCTGATCGATGACCACTTCCTCTTCGACAAGCCCGTGTCTCCACTGCTGCTGTGCGCCGGCATGGGACGCGACTGGCCTGACGCGCGTGGAATCTGGTGCGGGAACTGACCAAACAATACAGTTAGTGACAAGTCGCCTACACAGATAAAACTAGCCCTCATGCGAGTACTGCCTGTTGCCCGAAGCAATGTGCCGACTGTCATCACTAGCACTAGTGATGGCGTTACCACCTCCTTGAACACGCTAACTCTTTCCAAACTAGCCATATCTATCACCGCTGTGCATGTAATATTCGCACTCCACTTAGCCGTAGAATTTACACGCATGTTAATGCTATCTATGAGAAGTACACGTGTCCTAACACGACATCTGTTCAACCATAACCACCAACCATAATACTAACCAGGCACCCAACACTCGCCCTATCCATAGCACAACGTAGACAATGAATAACCCTGAACAAGAGGAGCCAAATACCTTTAACATCGAGTTCGCCCCCAACACAGTGACTGTAATCACCATCTATTGAACTATTTACTCAGTATGTTTTATTTTACCAAGGCCCACTGAGCTACATGCAGTAGCTCAACGAAGTGGCCTATCATCGTGTGGACATTTATAGCAGGAGTCACATACTCTAAACGCACGTTAATTCTAAAAGTGGAGGGAAAACCCGGAGGACCTGGAGAAAAATCCACGCGACCACGGGGAGAACAGGCAAACCCCAAATGTTCAGGCGTCGTGAGTGTCGGGATGGAACCCACGACCTCCTGTACACCAGGCGAGGTAGTTAACATCTCGTGGCCACCGCAGGCACAACGACAAAAAGACCTTCCTGGTGTGGGTGAACGAGGAGGACCACCTGCGCGTCATCTCCATGCAGCAGGGCGGCAACATGAAGGAGGTGTTCAAGCGCTTCTGCACGGGCCTGCAGAAGGTGCGCGTGTGTGTGTGTGTGTGCGTGTGTGTGTGTGCGTGTGTGCGTGTGTGTGTGCGTGTGTGTGTGCGTGTATGCGTGTGTGCGTGTGTGTGCGTGTGTGTGTGCGTGTGTGTGTGCGTGCGTGTGTGTGTGTGTGCGTGTGTGTGCGTGTGCGTGTGTGCGTGCGTGTGTGTGTGTGTGCGTGCGTGCATGTGTGTGTGTGTGCGTGTGTGTGTGCGTGTGTGCGTGTGTGTGTGTGTGCGTGCGTGCATGTGTGTGTGTGTGCGTGTGTGTGTGTGCGTGTGTGCGTGTGTGTGTGTGCGTGCGTGCATGTGTGTGTGCGTGTGTGTGTACGTGTGTGCGTGTGTGTGCGTGTGTGGGGGGAGCGGTGGTGCAGTGGCCTGCAGAAGGTGTGTGCGTGTGTGTGTGCGTGTGTGTGTGCGTGTGCGTGTGGGGGGTGGAGCGGTGGTGCAATGGTTAGCAGACTGTGCGCGTGTGTGTGTGTGGGGGGGGGGAGCGGTGGTGCAATGGCCTGCAGAAGGTGTGCGCGCGTGTGTGTGTGGAGCGGTGGTGCAATGGTTAGCAGACTGTGCGCGTGTGTGTGGGGGGGGGAGCGGTGGTGCAGTGGCCTGCAGAAGGTGCGCTCGCGTGTGTGTGGGGGGGAGCGGTGGTGCAGTGGTTAGCAGACTGTGCGCGTGTGTGCGGAGCGGTAGCGCGCTGCGCTACGAACCAGTTCAAGGCCAACACCAGTGACGATTATCTAAACCGGTCCTGGGCCTCCCCTAGGTCGACTCAGCCTCAAATGAGTACCTGGTGCGGTGTGTAAACATCGCCACTGGGGAGACAAAGGCGGCCGGGCGTGTTGCTGGCCACCCACCCACCCCCTCGTGTGCCGTGCCGGCCTTTATAGGTGCTACTCGCTAACAGCACTTGCCCCAACAGTCCGTTAAGGCTACACGGGGGATCTTTGTCTTGTATCCGTGGCATTGCGGGTTTTTTTTGCTCCGTACGAGTCACTGGACACCCTGAGGATGACCATTTGCAACGACTGCTCCATCGCGACGAGTCTTCGAAATTAGATCGCTTTGATGAAGAAAACTAATTCTAGATTTGAAGCTTTCGTGACTGCAAGGATTCATACTCTTGGGTTTTTTTCGGTAAAGTCACATAGGTAAAAATAAATAAATAATAAACAATGAATATTATATTAATTAATTAAAGATGCATACTATTGGTCATATGCATATTTTATTATTTATTTATACCTACGTGCCTTTACCGAAAAAACCTAAGAGTAAGAAAACAAATAACCACAATATGTCAAACAAGGAAAGCTGGATGCGGTGCAGGCCACACGAGCCCCTCTCCTGCCCGCAGGGCGCTGAGTCGGCCTGCGCCACCGAGCCGCGCGTCTCTCTACTGCCGTGGCAGTGGCCGGGTGGTGCATGAAGCAGATACCTCTCGCCGAATCGACTGTCTATATGCTGCGTGTATGTTGAACTTCTTTTGTGCAGTTCGTAGCCAGCCGTGCTAATTGGAGATGCGGGGGAGAGGACAACAAACTAAACACACACACACAAACACAGCTCTCAAGAAATGAGTTTTCAATCGAGATTTAAAAGTGCTTTAAAGGTGAATAGCTCCAGTGTCTTCCTACTCAAACAGAACTTTCCCCGACAGTCAGTCGCACGCGCAGCAGCGAGTGCGCGTGACGCGCGCGCGTGAGTGGGTGTACACGCGAGCACGTGGGGCGTGTGGCAACGGGCAGTCTGTTTGCCAACCGCGCTAATCTCCGGCTGCCGCGCCGCAGATCGAGGCCATCTTCAAGGATAAGGGCCACCCCTTCTCGTGGAGCGAGCACCTGGGCTACATCCTCACGTGCCCCTCCAACCTGGGCACGGGGCTGCGCGGCGGCGTGCACGTCAAGCTGCCCAACCTCTCCAAGCACCCCAAGTTCGGCGAGGTCCTCACCCGCCTGCGCCTGCAGAAGCGCGGCACCGGTACGACTCGCGGGGCTAGCACGGGGCTAGCACGGGGCCTGCACGGGGCTAGCACGGGGCTAGCACGGGGCCAGCACGGAGCCAGCACGGGGCTAGCACGGGGCTAGCACGGGGCTAGCACGGGGCCAGCACGGGGCTAGCACGGGGCTAGCACGGGCCAGCACGGGGCCAGCACGGGGCTAGCACGGGGCTAGCACGGGGCTAGCACGGGGCCAGCACGGGGCTAGCACGGGGCCAGCACGGGGCTAGCACGGGGCCAGCACGGGGCTAGCACGGGGCTAGCACGGGGCCAGCACGATGCGATAAACCTCACGGAGTCCACCCAGAGGAGGGGGCGTGGGGGAGGGGGGATTGTGGGAGTTTAACCCCTGGGGTAACGAGCTCGAGTCCCCCCGAGGCGAATGTGGCGCGCGAATGTAACTTACACGAGATTTGAAAGAAACACAGAAAACCACGAGAATTATACGACGGTAGAAAAAAATGAGACCAAAAGGGGACTCTGATGTTTGAATGGAATCTTGACGATCGCAACGACGGACAGTTCATGAAATCGCTGCGGAGCAGAGGGGGTTTGGGGGAGGGGTCGTTATATTCCCGCTTGACTCGCCCTTACTTCACGTGGATGATTTTCCACCCCCCCACCCCCTCTTCCCGACCCGCAAACCGCGGTAGTGGACGCAACGAAATATGTCCCAGAGCCTAGCCCCGAACAGCTCCTGTTAGGTAAAGCCGTGCTCGGTGGTCATTAACTCCCGTGAACACTTAACGCCTCATCCTCCTCCACCTCCTGCTCCCCCATCGCCCAACTTTAAAACTGTTTTCTTGGTTCTTTCGGTAAAGTCACGTAGAAGGGAAATAATAAAAATAAAACAATATAAAATAATTCTCACGACGTTTCACCACCAGGCTTGGAGCGTATATTTAAGCTGGGTTGGAGGGGGAAGACTTTACCGAAAGAACTAAGAAGATGAATCCCTCCAGTCACGAAAGCTTTAAATCGAAATTTTAAACTGTTTAAACTGTTCTCACGCTCTCGAGGGGCGGGGGGGCACCATGGAGCTGGTGGCAGGGCCAGCGGGCACCCCCCACCCCCCAATCTCCACCTGTCCCCCCCCCCCCACCCCGATTCTGGCTGTGACCTCGCGTGCCGCTCCCCCCGTCCTCCGTGCCGCGTGCCCAGGTGGCGTGGACACGGCGGCCGTGGGCGGCGTCTTCGACATCTCCAACGCGGACCGGCTGGGCTCGTCCGAGGTGGAGCAGGTGCAGATGGTGGTGGACGGCGTGAAGCTGCTCGTCGAGATGGAGAAGGCGCTGGAGAAGAACGCGTCGATCGAAGACCTCATCCCCGCGCAGAAGTGAAGAAGCCCCAACGCGGCTCGCACGACTTGTACAACAACAACAGCAGCAGCGCGTTCATGTAGTCGACGGTAAACGGCACAGATAATAAATAAATAATCTTTTCGCTGAAACCCGTTTCGTCTGTTTCATTGCTCGACGACACTTTCACCGGCAACACCAAGCGCGCAAGGGTTCTGCTTTTGATGAGTTTGAATCCGTGCGTTGTCGCCTCTACCTCTTTAGTTCCCTTCGGTCTGCGCGTAGAGACGACGGAGGTTTGTACCCGTGGCGTTACCACGGGGAGGGGAGTAGAGTCAAGGATGTGATGTACCAACAAGAACAGGGAAAGATGCCAAGACAGACAAAAAGGGCACGACTCAAGATGAGCAGTAGGAAGAGAGAGGGAGCACAGGGCAGACCAAGGTGTAGGGACTAAGAGAGTGATGACGATGAGAGGGGGAGAGAGGAGCAAGCAGAAGTAAGCTGCACCGAGCAGCGTCTGTTTTCACAGCGGGCGGGGAGGGATTCAAAGTAGGGGTGGCCACACAAGTCAGCAGTAGGAAGAGAGAGGGAGCACAGGGCAGACCAAGGTGTAGGGACTGAGAGAGTGATGACGATGAGAGGGGGAGAGAGGAGCAAGCAGAAGTAAGCTGCACCGAGCAGCGTCTGTTATCACAGCGGGCAGGGAGGGATTCAAAGTAGGGGTGGCCACACAAGTCACGTGATTTACGGGCGGCTTGAGATGATGTAGATATACAGGATGGGGCCGAATGAGATCTGTCTTGTGCCAGCTTCACGGCTTCCTTTGTGGCCCTTTCTGTTCGAGACCATTCTTCACCTGCGTCAATCCAGTGGAACTTTGTCTTGATGTGAAAAAGCTCAACAAGTCAGGCTCATTGCAAGGGTCACTGGTAGCCCATGTTGGACTTTAGTGCGGCCCTGACGTGCGGCTCCCGACAATTCACAACATGTCAAAACACCACTCCCATTATCGTGCTGTCAAACCCCAATGGTGTAACATGTGGTGTGGCGGCACTCACACTGATGTCTTCCTGGCGAAATTGCCCCCCCATCTGAAAATGAGTGGAGAACATTGGTTTAAACTAGAGGGTTGCCTGAGTCTTGGCTCTAGAGGCCTGGAGCTGGCTCTGAGGTCCTCCAGCCTGAGCAGAGTTTTGTTTTATGTACTATAAAATCTATAATGAGCTCCGGAGCTAGAGTGGAGCTGGAATTAATGGAGCCACAGTGGAACTGGGGTCAATGGAGCCAAAGTGGAACTTGGGTCAATGGAGCCAGAGTGGAATTGGAGCCAGAGTGGAACTAGAGCTAGACTCACTGGAGCTGGACTCACTGGAGCCAGAGTGGAACTGGAGTTGGGGTGACTGGGGGTGCTCTGCAGCCTGGAGCCGGGGCTGAGGATCGGGAGGAGCTCCACTATTTCCTGCCTCCACTATGATAACAACAAAAATCCCCGACTGTAGTTGAATATTGAAAAAACCCTCAATCTGTGTATGCATTAATCATTCAAATATTCGTGTTATGGTCAATGGTCTTACTCAATGCTGCACCTCCGATTAGCACGGTTGGCTACATACGGTGCGAAGGAAGTTCAACATACATACACACTGCACTATCATCATCAGCACCACTTGCAGCATCTTCAGTTGGAAATCTGACTTTACACCATGGACCCGCACAGAATCACGTGCCCAATGCATTCGCCACATATACGTTTTCTCTTAAACAGTATTCATGGCAGGTGTCGTTGTTTACACCGAGCACAGCGTGATGTCACATTGCAGAGGCAAGACTGGATGTCACGGAGGAGAGAGAATGCAGAGATGTCACGGAGCGCACGGTGATCTCCCAGGGTGGGGTGATGTCACAGCTCAGAGGAAAGTTACGAGTTTACAGTTCGTAGTGTGAGCTTTGATGTTACCATTCACAAAGGCACGCTGTGATGCCACAGGTTGTTCAGTGTGCTGACAGGTCCATGGCTCAAGCTCCCTCAATCCTATTTAATGCCACGTCCCCCCACTTCCCTCTTCACATACTCTCATTTTGTCCCTCATTGGCCGAATGAGTGAAAAACAAAAACATTTAATATGCACACTATAATTTGAAAAACATTATTTCTTAAGCATGCGATTCGATGCGGCTTTTGTGACCACTGGGAATCAATATAAATCCATGCCTGCATCATTACGCCCGATTCTTACACTTGAAATTTGATGCATGCAACGTTCGTTTGAGAATTGATGTCAATGAGATGGGATACGTCGTCGTCTTCGTTGATGCCACCTCTTCACACGGAAACTCCTGCAGTGAGCCAGAGCTCAGCAGGTCACTCACATGACCTTTGTGGGCCACCAATGGCCTTGAGTTAATGGGTATCTCTTTTTATTATCTTATAACCCCGTCATATTCTTGTCCTTTTAAACATAAAACACAAAACGTTAACCTGATTGGTCTTTTTCAGAGGTTGGCAACTTGCAGCTCCGGAGACGAATGCAGCTCTTTAAAGAATGCTTCGTGATTTTATTATTTACTAAGGCCCATCTCACATTCACATGCATTGTCGCTCTTAAAATAGTTTTGTTGTTACTTAAAGCTTTCGTGACTGCAGGAATTCATATTCTTTGGGTCTTTCGGTGAAGTCACGTAGATAGGTTCAAAGAAAATAACAAAAAACTACGACCTTTCGATCGCAACACAAGCGGTCCTGATGACGACAGCTCAGCTCCCAGCCTGGAGCTGAGCTCCTGGAGCTGAGCTCCAGCCTGGGAGCTGAGCTCCAGCCTGGAGCGGGAGCTGAGCTCCAGCCTGGGAGCTGCCAACTCGACGCACAACGCACATGGAATGTCCCACCGCAGTGTCCACGAGGGTTGCCATTCCCAGTTGCCGCGGATGGCACCGTCTATCAGCAGGGCGGCTCACGGCTTTTCCTGGATGCACACCCGGGGGATGGATGAAGCATCGTGAGGATAAAAATAACCCCAAGGGTTTTACAGGTCACACGCAGATGAACTCTACACCCGAGGCCATCTGTGGGCGAGAGCAGAACATAGGTGCAACCTAATGTAGCAAAACTTCAGTAGCAACGTTTTTTAACTTGGCTTAAGAGTTAATTATTTGATAATGCACTCATTGCAATGGTTATCACATCAACTGTTATTGGCCACGGAAATCAATTGGAACCACCAAAGTGATTCCACCTCAGGTGGTACCGGCAAGTGCGATATTCAGCTTCAGGGTTCAAGGCCTGACCGTCCCACGATGTCAGAGGTACCCAAAGCACGGCGCGGGATACGGAGGAGCCCCCCCCCCCAAATCACCGTGGCGTCCCTTAACAGAAATAAAGTTCCCAACGCCAAGCGTCACTCCAAAGCAGTTCCACGTGCAGGCGGCTGGCTTGGAACACCAACTCCAAACAGCTCGGAGTCCCGCCCGACACCGCAACGGTCGTCGCTACAACCACTTTCACTTGAAACCAATAAACTCGCCACTTCCTAAACTCTCATCCGCTCAAACGCGGCCGTAACCATGGCGCGACCACGCCGCTTTCTTGTCACGGGGGGGGGGGGCGATTAACGAGGGCACCGTCCCGCGACAAGTCGCCCCCCCACGGAGAGCTCCGTCACGCGGAGCCGGGTTCGCGGCGCGTGCCGATGCAGCCACAAGGCGAGCGGAAAGTAAAAAAAAAGTCACCGGCCATTAACATTCCGCGTGGTGTGACGCACGCGGATCTCAACTTGCGCCCCCTTTAATATCGCAGCCGTGCAGTGCAGCGGGGACCCGGCATAGTTTGGTGTCAATCATTTTATTAATATCGTGGAGGACAAGGCAAGGGGCAATGACATGTAATTTAAGATTGCTTTTTAAATGCACCGTGTTTTTTTTAATGGCTGAATGGCAAAGCTCGTAAGCAGCTTTGTCAATCCACTGCTGGATGAGGGCCTCCGCATTGCATGTTCATCACGAGCATTATCGGACCGTACTTTACCACGCTGGCGAGTGTGGGGTGGCGAGGTGGTGGCTCCAGGACAGGTTCACACAGCTATCGATTTCGATTACAATGAGCTGTTGGCTGGGTATCGAACTCGGGTTTGCTTGGTTTATCGCGCAGTGCTTTATATATTGCGTCACCACTTTACCAAAACTGGATTAACGGAATCACAAGTAATAAATGAACGTAAGATAATACAAACTAAAGCAGTGCACTCTCTATATAAAAAACATAACTTACGAGTCCACGTGTTAGATCAACATCAAAAGCCTTTATTCAGCGCTTCTTACAATGTTGTAAATCGGCAAATACATGACATCTGCTTCAAGATTAGAATGGTGCATGGGATCTAAGCACAATATATCCTCAGAGCCCAACACGACCTAACAACTGTACACGCGTATACACGCACTAAGGATGTAACGATTGACTTGGTCAACAATTTGATGAATTTTCAAAGTCATGATTTGGAGTCGCAATCAATTTTTCTCCTTGTAGTTTTTTTAGTCTCCAGTGAGACGAATTAATATACTTTAAAGTGGCATCAATGAATATGAAGGAAAAATAAATTGGTCCTCGGACACACAATCTGATGCATGGATCACGAGCGTAAGAATGGATTTTCATTGTTAATCGTTACATCCCAAATGCACACGCTCGGTAATTAGCCTCACGCCACCAGCACCACAACACCTAGCTCTCCTCGCCACCCTCACCAACCGCCGTCACGATGCCGGACGGCGAGGTGCGGTGCCCACAAAAGCGCCACCCAGCAACACGCCGTCCCGATAACGAGCCGATCTTGACGAGCACGATGAGCCGATAATGAGCTGTCCAGCCATCCGCTCACGGTGCGCCGTCCAGCGCTGTGTGTTGTCCTACCAGCAGGCGGTTGCCCCAGCCACTGACTGATGAATCGCTCGCTGCCCAGCGACACGTCGCCCAAACACACGACGCCCACCCACCCGCCCGCCCGCGCAGTACGCCGCTGGGGCCTCGGTGGCCACCATCGCCACTCGTCGCCGCGGTCACCAGCGCCTGCTGACGTTCAGCTGCTGCAGGTGATCGTTCACGAAGCGGTGCGGCGGGAAGCGCGCCACCATCTTCTCCCGCGTGAGAGTGCGGAACTCGTTGGCTCGAAACTCCACCATGTGCCCGCTCTCCTGCTCGCGGCTCATCCACGCGCGGCTCAGCCAGTACTCGTTCTCCGCCTCCGCCTCCAGCCGCTGCCGCAGCTTCAGCAGGCTGTTGTGGGACACGCGCAGAGGGCGGCGGTGCTTGCCGGCCCACTGGCGGCCGCCGGGGAGGCTCATGCGGAGCAGCGCTGACAGGAACATCGCTGCTGCTGCTGGTGTGCAGGAGGAGCGGGAAGATCAGGAGGAAGTGGTGCACACAGATACATATTTCAGGGGGAGAAATTATTTGGTTTTTTACCCTTTTATCTGGCAACAAAACTGACACCTTTTTTACAAGGAGTCATGCTTGCATAGACCACAATACCTGCAGTCATAATGCAAACAAAAAACATAACTCTGATAATGTATGCACTGTCCTTGAAGTTGATTCGTCCACACCCAAGACAGCTTTCCTTAGAGCCTAGTCTCACATGGTGTTGGACCAGATGACGCCGAGGCTCTAAGGAAAGCTGTCTCGGGTGTGGACCAATCAACTTCAAAAACAGTGCATACATTATCAGAGTTGTGTTTTTTGTTTGCATTATGACTGCAGGTATTGTGGTCTATGCAAACATGACTCCTTGTAAAAAAAGGTGTCAGTTTTGTTGCCAGATAAAAGGGTAATAAAACAATTATCGGAGAAATTGTTGTCCACTGCAATGAAAATTCACCGATTTCGGAAAGCGATACTGTATACAAGCTAAGTTTGCGTTACACAATATTTGATGTGTCTATAAATACATTCATATCATGGAAGTATTATTAATTTACAACTCTACATTTATGGAAAATCTCACAAATTGGTCAATGCATGTCATAAAATGGCCGTTGTCACAGACGTTCGCCTGTGGGAAACTTGGACAAGGACCAGATCAATGTGGGATGCGGGTTCAACCCACACCGCTAAGTGGTGTACAAAATAGCTTAAACTATGCCGAGTTGGCCGGAAAATGGTGGTAATTAGGGCTTAACTTCTCACTTTATTCCGGGTCGCTGGTTAAATGGACTAGGCACGTGATTAGTGACCAGCCAGAGTGCGAGGGGAAATATTATCGGGGTCATCGTCCCAACAGACATCGACTGAGACCAAGCCCTGGTGGTACAGAAATGACATCCCGAGCCTGTCCGTATGGACTCTGAACCGTTGGCTCCTCGTCAGCTCGTGCTCTCTCTGGGTTCGTTCCTTTCACAAACATCCCAATGCAGGGCCCTGTAAAGAGGGCTGACACTCAACGAGCTATTTATGGATACATATTTACGTTTTTTTAAAATAATGTAAGAGCGGTGGGGCAGCGGTTAGCACACTGAGCAACCCGAGTTTGATTCCAGCCCATGGCTATGTACTAGGGCTGAACGATTAATTTCAAATCGAAATCGCAATTTGAAACAATGCGATTAGCAAATTGCAAAAGCTGCGATTTTTTGCGATTTGCCAGATTTGAAAAGTCCTATTACTTTATTGGAATTGTTGAATTTGTATTACTTTATTTATTGGAACAATTGTTCTATGTTTTATTGCTCTATTTCAATCAAAACATTTTAATAAATACATGTTGGAAGGTAATTCATATCTCTTAAGTTCTCATCCTTGCATTAGAATATATAGAGCAGTTCATATTTTCATGGTATCATGTGTCAATGCTCCATCACATGTTTTTAAATCTATTACAGTGAACATTGAACCAAAGCTTGAATCGCAAATCAAATCGCAATGTCAGAAAAATTGCAATTAGATATTTTCCCCAAATCGTTCAGCCCAACTCTGTACGTAGAACTTCTTTCACACCGTACGCGGCCAACTCGTGCTAATCGGAGGTGCGGCCTAGCACGGGTGAGCCGTGGGCAGCGACATCTGAAACCCTCTTGGGGTGCCTTCCCCATTCACACCACCACCCTGACCAGCGTGGTGAAGTATGGTCAAACAACCCTGGCAACAGACACGGAGGCGTTCAATCCGGCAGCGGATTGACAGAGGGGGGGGGCAATGAATGACTGCTGACAACCACATTAAGTCATACCTGTTAACCCCTTATCAGTGCCCTAGCTTATTACAGATCAATGCTGACCTTATTGGTGACCCCGTGCCCCTTGTACATCTCAAAGTTCATCCGACAAAGATCCCATCGCGAAATAAGACAACAAAAACGATGGTGGCCCCGTATTGTAAACGGTTGTACGCCGCACGAACCTGACAACTCAACTTCCCTGCGAAAATAACAACGAGATGCGGTGACAATAAAAAAAAACACAACAACCACCACCACCACAATCGCGAACGCGTTCAGCCCGCGACCTTGAGCCGATCCCTGCCCTAGGCCCTCACCCGCAAGGGCTGCAGCGACTCCTTCCTCCTCCTCCTCCCTTCCCTCCCTCCCCTCTCGCCTTATTAGCACGAAGACACACAACGAGAATGTCGTCCCCGGGGGGGGGGGGGTGACAATGAAGGAGAAAGCTTCCAAGTCTCCCTCTCGGCCTCGGTCTCTCACCCTCGACGGGAGCGCGGTTCGAACCACGTGGACGCGTGGTGGGTGCCGCGTGACGGCTCCACGCGATGCCAGGTCAGAGGGGTTGGTGCTGCTGGGTGGGTGGAGGATTCACACAAAAACCTCTGCTCGTATCGATTCGTCGATTCCGCCAGTGCAGTCGATTCCCTTGCGGGTGGGGGTGGTGGGTGGGGGTGTGGGGGGTGGTGGGTGGGGGTGGGAGTGTGGGGGGTGGTGAGTGGGGGTGTGGGGGGTGGTGGGTGGGGGTGGTGGGGAGTTTGGGGTGGGTGTGGGGGGTGGGGGGTTTGGGGTGGGGGGTGGGGGGTTTGGGGTGGTGGGTGGGGGTGTGGGGGTGGTGGATGGTGAGTGGGGGTGTAAGTGTGGGGGTGGTGGGTGGGAGTGTTGGGTGGGTGGTGGGTGGTGGATGGTGGGTGGGGGGTGGTGTGTGGTTGGTGGGTGGGGGTGGGTCTGCGTACATCGATTCGGAAGTTTTCTTGACTTGCAACCTTGCACCACCACGCCCCCTTGCGTTTAAAATCGATAAAAGCCGATGGATAATAAATATATTGGCGGTTTGATGAAACGAAGTGAGTTGTTACTCAACGTGCCCGTGCGTATTGTGTGTTTTCGATGATTTTTCTTCTAAAAAAGAATAATTCTGGACACGTCTCGCTCCTCTCCCCAGAAGGGGCATCTCGCACCCCAGGTTTAGAAGAACCACTGCAGTTATCTTGTTGATGATATTGTTAGATTTTAATACTGTACTTATATATTTAGTCGTTTTAGTGCTGGAAAGCAATCGACATATTCGGCGAGAACGAGTTTTATGAGAAGCCCCCTTCATTTACAAACATTTACAGCATTATTTGAATACAAATCCGATAATGCATTCTTCAATTAAATATTTTGTGCTTTCATTTTTACCAAAATATGGGGTGCTTTAAACGTAATTTTTCCCGAGGCAATTTTCGTTCAAGTATTTTTTTTTATCTTGACTTATGTTCATGCAGTTTTTATATCTTCCGTAACGCAGTTGTTTTTGTACCGCTTCCTCGTTGCTTCGTCGATGTTCTGTGTTCACGCGATTGCCTTTGTCCATTTTCATTGATCCCCAGATCACTCTTGCCAATAACACCGAATTCTGGTACCCCCGAGTTATCGCGCCTTGTTAAAAACAAAATAAACATCGAGCGAATAATCTGGGTCGTTACGGTGCGCGGGTTCTCCCAATCAACTTCATTACGTTCCATAATAAGGTCTGTCATCTTAGATTGTATCGTATCACAGGTAACCCCGTGAGAAGGAAATGTGTAGGAATAGCCACGGCATGTCTCTCTACCTTGTTAATTCATACAATTCCTTTCCAGCTCAGACCCAGCTTGTTTGCACAACGCCACATAAATAACCTCTTGTTGTAACAGCTCTCTCGCCGGTTCAGCAGTTACACTGCTGGATCGAAACGTCGTGATATAGTGATATATTTAGTTTTTGTTTCATTAAGTTTTTCTACCTACGTGACTTTACCGAAAGAACCAAAGAGTATGGATTCCAGCAGTCACGAAAGCTTAAAATCAAGATTTAATTAATACCTGTTAACCCATGCGGTTTACCCCGTTTTCTTGTACAGGGAAATTGAGTTTTCAGGTCCATGCGGCGTACAGCCGTTTCAATACGGGCACATTTAAAAAACAATATTTGTTTGTGTTTCTCCCTTGTGATGGGAATTTGTTGGATGAATGTTGAGATTTATAAGAGCACGGAGTGACCAATATTGTCTGAATTGGTCTGTAACGAGGTAGGGCACTGAATAGGGGTTGACAAGTATGTTGATACTGGTAGGAACCTCTGGTTACACCAGCCCACAGGGGATTATTGTGTCCGTCCGTCGTGCAGGGAGGAGCTGGGTGGGGAGGGAGGGGCTGGGTGGGGAGGGGAGGGTGGGGAGGGGCTGGGTGGGAGGGGTGGGGCTGGGTGGGGAGGGGCTGGGTGGGGAGGGGCTGGGTGGGGAGGATGGGGCTGGGTGGGGAGGGGAGGGTGGGGAGGGGCTGGGTGGGAGGGGTGGGGCTGGGTGGGAAGGGGCTGGGTGGGGAGGATGGGGCTGGGTGGGGAGGGGAGGGTGAGGAGGGGCTGGGTGGGGAGGGTGGGGGTGGGAGGGGTGGGGCTGGGTGGGGAGGGGCTGGTCACCCCGTGGTGCCCTTATAAAACTCAACGTTTAACCTACTCACGCCGGCTTGTGCCCGCCCTCACACCACGCCGCTGTTGACCCTGGCCATTGACCGAGCAACCCAACGTTCCTACCAGCTCCCTCCGCAGGAATGTGTTTAAATGGACATGTTCACACGAAGTCAAACCGTGCCACGCAGCGCTCGTACACCACCGTGCAATGTGGGTTCGCGCGTGATATAAAGAGGGGCCCATTCGTTTCGAACATTCCCACTGGTAACGTTTATCGTGTTTCCCAACCTTCGGAAACCGGTAATCGATTCGGAATACCGTAACCGGTTAACCGTTTCACAAAAATCCCATCCTACGCCTGTCAGAACGGCGAGAGAGAAATCGATGCTTGGATCGGATCGCTCTTTTTAAAGCGTTACCAATCAAACACGCACTGCAGACTCAACAAGGGGGAGGAAACCTCTCCCGTGGCAACGCTCGCACGGCTGGACCGGTCTCAATGGTGCCCCCTGCTGCATTGTGAAATACTCCGATATTATGAATACAAATTCGATTAACAGGTTTACCTCGCCGCCTCCATCCAGCAGTATAGAGGCAAAGCGCTGTAAATGCACGTGTTCACACCGGCGGGTTGACCTGTTGAGTTACACGGCGAGGAATTCGGAGCCTTCAGCCAGAAACTTCGCCAGGATTTTTCTGTTGCGTGTAGTCATTTAAAAAGGTTTCTTGTTCATGTTTTTGTTTTGTTGCACCCGAGTCAAGAGCTGCATGGCTCACAGGGTTATACCTAATAAATGAAACTGAAAAAAATCGAATTGCGACAGGAGACAAAACGGAGGCAACAACAACAAAACTTGAGCTGGGAAGTGTAGGAGGGGGGGGAGGAATATAGCAGTCGAGAAAATATTTAAACGAGTTGTGACAGTGCACACTACAAAAACTAATATAATTCAGCGGACTGAAGACGCAATTCAACGTTAGAATAAACCTTGACACAATCACGAGGCAAACGCCGAGGCTTACCTCTTCCATCAAGACGATTGGCAGGAACGAGATGGCACAAGGAGGAAAGACTGCAGGCTTCATGTATTTTGTAACCGAACTAAACGGCAACGAGTTGCCTTGCAGTATTTCCTTGCCACGATACATAGCATCAAAACAAAAACCACGCAACATTCACTCGATGACAATGGGGGTGGAAAACTATTGGCGAGGCAACGCAGTGTGGGGGGGGGGGGGGCAGGGGATCGCATTGTTCCAGCCCTTCACGTGACCGTACGGGCCCTTTGAGACCCAAAGGCTCGATTGAAAAGGCCCCCCCTACCACCAGGTCGACACAACATGTTGGGCAATCCTCGTCAACGCGTTGAGCGAAGGCGCTCAATAAATATAATTTAGATTGTGGGCCCTGAAAGAGCAGCGCTTTTAATTGCCTGTAGAGGGCGCTGTCTGCTAATGCGCGGACATTCACTTTCTGTGATTTGCCAAATGGGACGATCATGCTAATACTGCTGCAATGGTCAACTGATTGTAATCAACGAGACTTTGTAGGTACAGTACTGTATATTACTCGGGTCCATTTAAAAATGTCGATGGCTCGCAATATCCTGCCTCCTGAAAGTGGGCAACCCCGAACCAGCCGTGAGGCACGTGGTCGGTATTTGTCGTCACCAAGCCTCGCCCATCACCTCCACGGAGGAACAATTTGTTACATTCACGTCAAATTAATCGGATAATCAAACTGGCAATCAGTAAACGATTAAACAAATATAGCAGCTCTTAATAAATGTACGCTCTACCACATACGACGGGTGCATTGACAAAGAATTGCTGCCATGCCCCTTGCAAGAACGTACAACACACGGAAGCTCACAACCACTTAAATATTACATTTTTATATTGCGTGCTGCCAAATCCATTCAGTTGAAGCAACATTACTTTGTATGGGCCAAGGTCGAATTTTTAATTATGGAACTGGGCTTGCAAGTTGTGTACAAGCACAACTTTAAATATAACGGCATATTCACGATGAAGTCAGACTCGCCGGCCCATCTCCTTTGCCCTCTCCACTCCAAAGAATGGCAATTGCCCAAACATCATCCTACTTTATATAATTTTCTGTCATAAGGCAAAGAACAAGCAGTTATTTTTTTTTACCTTGCCTTAGGCACACGGTAGTCTCCATAACCAATTACAATGCACGTTAAGAAAGGTTTCTGATTTCGCAAAACATCTCGTGCACAAGGCTTGTGCAGTTGCAACAACAACAAATAACCCAGACACATAGAGGCAGGCAGTGCAGAGTTTTCAACAAGGGGTTTAATAATTGTGCACCAGATATATATAGAGCTAAGGGACCTGACATCTTGCATTGACCGCTTGCACGAACCTGATCATAACGACAGCTATAGTTAAAAAAAAAAGAAAAATCCCGAGCGAGCCTAGCAGGCGATGGTGTTGCCACAGTTGTAAAGTCGCCCGGGGTGTGCATGAGCGGAGGCGCTTCAGGGTCAGTCAGCCCCATTTTTCCTCGTACAAAACACCAAGGTGGGGGTGGGTGGGGGTCGGATTTCAGCAGTTCGTGAGTTCGTCTTCACAAACACAAGTATAAAACACTAACATAGTGGGGCTTTGCTCATACTTGCGACTTGAAGAAAACCGCGGAAATGTTCGCTTGTTCGTCCTACTAAAAATTAACGTGTACGTTAATAAATATGAAGAAATTATACAAGAACTAAAATCAATGGGTGAGTATTCTCTTCTGCAATTGTTAATGTTGTTTTAGTGCACGTAAGATATTTATCAATAATGCTTGTAATAAACGCATATTTTACTTTGCAGACTCAACCCACTTGTGAGTTGCAAAACAGAGCTGCGAGTTTGACGATCCCGATGGGACAGCGTCGTCCCCCAGCTGAGAACCCTGGAGTAGAGCCCTCCCCCAATCCCTTCAGTCCATCCGTGCAGGAGACATCACGGCCGGCGTTCACCGCACCGAGCCAAAGGTAACTGCGACTATACAGCAAACGGCGTGCGATCCACAGTGGCAAAGAGGAAGAAAAAAACTGGCCGCACGACGCCTCTAAAAAGCAAAGCTGTGAGAATCCCAGGGCCCAGTTTCGTTGATGGCGCCACGCTTAACACTGTGCTCGGCTCGAGGTCCAGTCGAGTGGCTGAAACCCAGGTCCCAATGCCTCTCAGCCTTATTACATGCCTTCAATGCTTTTGCAAAATAATGTTTTCACTTTTGTTTTGAAACCAACCATAAATTATAGCTTTTTTTATACAGGACACTTTAACATATCCATCGGCTCTATTTTACATAAAATAATAGATTTTAAATGGGATGTTACTGGGAAGCTTATAGAAGTATACCAATCTGTGCATTCCAACCAGTGTGCCCGTTGCGGAAAGGTGCGGATCGGCGAAAAAGCACATTCCCCTCCCCCCGTGTACGTGTCTCGCTCACTCTTGCTCCACCACATGGCTCAAAAGCAAGCGTTTAATCACAACTCTGGCACATCTTCAAATCTCTACACAGCTCCGCCAGCCCGTGCACGACATCCCTGCATCATAGCGCAGGCAAGCACATCGCCAGAGTTTGTGTGTCACCACTCATGTTTCCAGGTCAGGCTATGTGCCCCAGAGTTTTAGTTTTTTGTCTTCTAACTTGTAGAACCCTCAGAGGGCTTGGCTAGCCTGCTGAGCGTTCGCCTCTGCTGCCGCCGCCACCGCCGCCACCACCTTGTCAGAGCTTGAGCTCGTTAGCGATCTTGGAGGCGATGTTCTTGAAGGCGATGGACGTGCCTGAAATGCGCTTGAAGCGCACACCATTGAGCGAGAGGCGCGGCAGCTTGCACACCTCCATCTCCCAGGTGACCGGCTCTTCGGCGCCCGATCGCGTCTCGCCATGCGCGCAGTACAGCAAGTAGGGCTCGCGCTGCTCGTAGTCGCACGCGTTGTTGTCCAGCACCTTGCGGATCTCGCGCATCATCTCGCCCGGCTCCATGGAGCTCGTCGTCTTCATGCTCCACGTGAAGCGAAGCGAGCGCGGCTTTGAGTCGCGTGGCTCCTCGCGCACCTCCATTGTCGTGGTGGTTGTGGTGGTGCGGCTGTCAACAACAAGCACACAACGTGGACATCAACAACGACCGCAAGAACCACTACCCACTTGCCTGGTGCTGCTTAAAGCGCATCTCCTTTGGTGGCCCTGAGCTTGAGGAAATGTCAACATTCCCCACGGTGATGGTTAGTATCTGCACAATACAACCGCTGTTGGGTACTCCATTTACCAACTCCAGAGGGCTCAGCCAAACCCTGACCAATACATAAAGTGCTCTAGCATATCACCAAATCACCCTAATGTGCAAATCTCACCAGATCCTGGGAGCCAAGCAGATCCAAGCCCAGTTAGCCTTTGGAGGGACATTTTAGGTGTGGGCTTGTGAGGTGTCATTAAGATGGCAGAGTTGAGTGTAACCCCCTCAAAAGTGTATGAGCTCTCTGGACACTTGGATCTATTCCCAGATGCAAAATGCTCATGAGGGACCCAACATTTGGATGTCCTGCCTCGGTGAGCAATCTCTGGCCAAATAAAAATGGCGTTGAACACAATTTCACCTGACTGGATTACCAAATGCAAACCATATTGAAAAACTGGACTGCAATGTAAAAAAATCATTAAAAAAGTGTATTGGCCAAAATTTGTCAAAAAGGTATTATATTTTGTCTTTCCTCCCCATTTTCTCCTTTTACGCCCTTTGTGTTGTGCATCGCATTGTACGGCACAATAAAATGTTTCTAAGCGGCAATGGCAAAAAGGCTGACCGTAATAATGCTCACTGTTAATATTACCAACATGTTTCAGTTTGAATAGACAACGCAAAAAACTTACTACATTCATGTGGAAATTGTAAATGAGATACTTAAACGAAAGTTATCGGAGTTGGCAGTAACCTTCAAGCAATGTGATCTGCATTTTAACCAACACAGCCTTGGGAGTGTTGTTAAGTTCATGCGCAAAGGCCCAATTGACGCAGAGGTGGCAGAGAGCCCAAACCACAGGTGGCATAGAGGGGAGAGGGGGTTGGACAGCTGGGCGAGCATCGAGGCGTGCATATGCCTGCAAGGCCTGGACCAGTGCAACGCCAAAGCGCAATGAAGAGATGATGAGTTCCGAGGGCCCTCAGGACCGCATGCTCATGCTTTCGAAGGTCAGCGCGTGCAATTGCTATCAAATCATCAAAGGACTGACTATATACCCTCAAAAAATTACATTACACGCACAAACACCAAATAACACAATACAAAAACTCACCACACACACACAGTCCCATCGGTATTATAAGTTACAGATTAAAAGTTGGGTTATTTCAGGTTTATATATTTACATATTGTGTTTGTATATTAAAAAGAATTGAAGACCAACGTCATTTATTTTACCAAGAGTATGGTGTGCACGTGTGAGTTTTTTTCCTTGCTCATGAATGAATGGGGGGTAAAAGGACGACATCAAGCATTCAATGGAAAGGAATCAAACGCATGGCGCAAGTCATCTCGCCATCCCCTTCTCCCGGAAATTGAAAATGGGTGTCACTGGATGGAGGTGCGTGCGCTGCCAACAGCAGTGCAGACTTCTGCTCAACGTGGAGAGACAGCTCGTGCGAGCAGGGGAGCCATGCTGTGCCCCCAGCCGGGGTTCTCACCTCGGCCCTTCAAATCTGACGATTCTTTCTGCCTCATTCAATGCCCTCGGCAAAAACAACCACAGATTTGCAATGCACAGTTACACCCTGCCTCTGCGGCAGCCCTGGACAGGGAAATCCACGTGTAAGTGGTACATGGTACAGAACTGCACTGCTAAGGCAAACATCAGAGGTGTGGACTCGAGTCATGTGACTTGGACTCGAGTCAGACTCGAGTCATGAATTTGATGACTTCAGACTCGACTTGGACTTGCATAACAATGACTTTGTCCCACCTCTGAGGTGTGGACTCGAGTCATGTGACTTGGACTCGAGTCAGACTCGAGTCATGAATTTGATGACTTCAGACTCGACTTGGACTTGCATAACAATGACTTTGTCCCACCTCTGGCAAACATACAATGCACAATGTACAATTCCCGAGAATGAGCTGTACACGAGGCTGGACAAATCGTTAGTTCACATTGCATTTTTACGATCCTGTCTATTTGGTAGCTCATATAACAAATGTACCCTGAGGCTAGCTCTTATGATATTTAAATGCACTCCAAGTTCCCTCTCCTCCCACCAGCAGTGTTCTGGTATAAAATGTAGGTGGTTCTCTTCGATGCAAGTTGATTAATTTATGCCATAGTTGTGCAGTCAGCTACAGCAGGTGGCAGCACTGGTCCTACTCAGAGTGATGCGCTTGCAACTCTCCAACAATGAAGCCACCATTATTCCCGAGATAATTTGTATTCTAAATTCGTCCACAAAGGCTGACATTACCTGTCTATTTTTCTCATTTCCCTATCCTCTGATTTTTAAAGTTCACCTATGCTGGCGTAGCAACTATAATGACTTGCCATGTGAATATAGTAACCCATTTTGGCTTATTTGGCAGAGAATGAGCAAATTCTCAAGGTAGAGAATTCCTCATTCCATTGAAACGAGGTTACAGAAGATGCGTGTGTGCTAGGTAAACGATTGAACAATGGTGCGTTCAAGCAGATCTGTTATGCAACTTCTTTCGGCAGAACTTTAAGCGGCACGTACTCAAGCTGGTTGTGAGACGGGCCGCTTAATGTACGCGCGTATTTTTTAAGCACCGCGTTTTTCAATAAATGCAGAAAGGCAGCTCCACAACAATCCTCTTAGTATTTGGCTTTTCTCATAAAACGAATTGCTTCGCTGCTCAGACAAACAGATCAGATCGGATAAACTGTACTATCCTGCTTTTGTATTGTGTGCTCCCAATTACAATCACCATTTCCATCGTGACATCACTTCTTGATTTAGAATCTTTTTGAAGATGCATATAACAAAACGGTGCTCCGAATAAAAATGCAATTTGGTACTGGATTAAATTTGCCTAGACTCTCTACGTCCTTGTATGATTAATCTCAAAGGCCAATAATAATCGCTTTAATAAGTCGATGCTTTTGGGAATATTTGCAAGTATCACAAAACATGCTCCTTAATAAGGATGACTGAACATATGCATTCATTGTAATGGAACACATTTACGCTTTGATCAGTGGGTTACTGTTGTGATTTTAAGAATACATTTTTAATGCGTGTTATTTTACGTTCTTTCATGTTAAGTTTGTGTAGACAAGGCATACCCACCCGACGATCTTCTGGTAGCCTTTATACTGTGGCCAAAGCTGCATTCTGAATTTAATTTAAAATACATCTACAGACACAACCCTCAATATAAAAACAATACCTTTATGTAGCTGTTTAATGAAATCGGTTCACATTTACAAATTACTTGCAGATGTGAAATATTTGAAACTGCAGTGCCCCCCAGATTTATTTGGATCCATTCTCTTTTACAAACCTCACAACAGATGCCGCGCCATATACACGATTCTAGACGTGGTCTATGGATACAGCGAGACACAGCGCTGTCACTAACTGGATTACAAACGTTGGGGACACCTGTAAGCGAATCACAGGGGGGCAAACCATCCCCTCGAGTTACTGCAGGTTGCCTCTACAGTACAGAGCAACATTACAAAGAAAAAATACTAATTTCATACATTGACAGGAATATAAAGTCTAAATGTTTGAAATTTGGAATTCACTCCAAGGTATCATTTTTTTGCCCATAGTCATTTGTATAAGTGGATGTGAAATTATAGAATAGATCTATCTTCGCTTTGTCCTAACTCTTATTCGAACAAGGAAAGAAGGTGGAGGACGCTTAATTTTCAGAGTGCACTAAAGGGTCCAAGTCTTTTGGATAAGCAGGTAAGAACTCGAAGACAGTGTCACACGTGCAAGTGGACCTGGGTCACCAACATGACAAAGGCAAAAAGCTTAAACAAAGGAAAACCAATTCAGACTGCCCTCCACCCTGTGCCAGGCCGCTTCAATGTTGCATATTTGCGCATGGTCCCATGAGGGTATTCTTATGAAACTAAGCGCTCATTTTTACCACGGTTATTCGACCCTTGCAGATGCCGATTCAATACCGAAAAGTTGTGCAACAGCCACGTGGTCTGTCCCACCAGGGAGTTTTGTCAGGTACTCTTAGATGGATACTGAAACGTCCTGAGGCACATTTTTGTAGAGCGGTGTTATCCACCGTGGAAAATACTGTGGGCCCTAGGTTCCTCCCCCTCCCCTTGGCGGCGAGCTCTGGGTACCACTGAACTCACTATACGAACAAACAGACAACTGCAAACATATGCAGGCCCTCCCCTTCATACCTTCCTCTCTAGTCCTCTATACTTTCCACTTTGTTTTGTTTTAATAGGTGAAACTTGGGGTCTGTGGTCCACATGTGTACTTCTTTGATTGAAATGTAAAATTGGAAAATTGAAATTTTACCGAATATTTTTGAGTAAATTTAGATTTTATTTGAGGCGTTATTTTTTTTTCTACTGTCAAGTACGGGGAGGGGGGGGGTAAGAAAGTCAAGGTGTCAGTTTGCACTGGCAATTCACTTGCATTGGTCCCCAACATTCCTAATTCAGTAAATAAAATATTATCGATGACCAATACATCTTCTCTTGTGCACGAACCATATTTTTGTATAAGGAGAGTTTCTGGGCACTTTGCACACCAACCAATGATCACAGAGGCATTCCCTTTCATTTATTCAAAACCATGACAGCTTGAAAAGCAAACAAAAGCACAATGTTTGAACAACCCAAAGCCCATCCCCAGCAGAGCTGCAGGCTGAAGGCGAGGCATAACACAACAAAGGATAAAGGAACACATATCCCCACATGAAAGACACGAGACATTTCACTTGGTACATATGTTAGTAGGGTTAATTGGTCTCCACGCCACCAGAGAGCTTGCAGCCTCAGATCGTTAGCACATGCACACCACCTCGGTTGGAACGGTCAGTGAAATCTGTATATGTCCGTGCAAGGCACAATTAATCCGAGTCCACCACCAGTCCACTGCAGAGTTAGGCCGACAGAAAAGCCTGGAAGCAGAAGGGATTTCCCACCGAGAGGCTGCTGGGAGTGGGAGGGCTGGGGCAGTGGGGAGGGTAAAGCAGTTATGGGGAAGGTCGTTGTACACGGCACTCGCTCTCCTACCTTCTGCTGAATCTGAAAGAGAGATTTCTAAAGCAAAATGAAGGGGGGGAACATAAGATCACAGTCACAGAAAATAAACAGAAACATACAAAGGTATTTGTTTTATTAGGCGACAAAGCAAGTACTAGGACTCACAAACGACCTTACATTGATCAATTATAACTTTTACCTTTGCAGAAAATTCACAATGTAACGTAAATTAAAATGAATCCCTGCAGTCACGAAAGCTTTAAATCGAAATTTAAAATCTATACTGAAAATGACTGCATTGATACTGTACAACTGCATTGGAAGAGTAAGTTAAGGTGAAATCAGTATTTGTGGCTATGCGCGAGTCAACCTAGGCTCCCAAGTCAACTCGGTTTAAATTGATCACTTTGCGTAGTGTGACAATGTTGATACGAGGGAGACAGACTCTGGCCCTGGTGCTACCTTGAGTTTCTGCTTTAATAGATGTTCACGAGCTAATCTAAAGACTACACTTGAAGGGATACGTGTATGTTGTCAGCTGTGCAAAACAACAAGTTTGCATATCAACTATTCAGTGTGCCATTTCATATGAAATGTAATCTTAATCCTTTGGTCTTCTTAAACAGACTTTAAATATACATTGTTGCATTTAAAAAAAACAATAATGGCTTGCTATTAGAGTAAGGGTGGACACTGGCCAGTATTTTCCTTTATTAACAAAAAAAACCTATTGGGAAACGCATCATCCACTACCAAGTGTGGTACACGGGGCAGGCGGAATCTAACTTCTATGAAGAGTAACTAGCTGTCCAATGGGTCATTTTCCGAGAGCCAATCAAGTTTGAAACTGGCCACACATTGACACAACATGCAAATGTTGGACCCATGAAGCCCAACAAACATTGTTTTCTTAACATACACTACACCTCGTGGCCAGAAGCCACAACTTGTCAATCACTGCTAAGCGTGTCCCACAACAACAGTGTCGCAGAACATTGCACATGCTTTGTACGGGCAATACCCGATGGAGGATTTATGCAGCTGAAACTCTCAACTCTGGGAGTATACATTTACATTGGATGCCATTCACTCCAGAATACCAAACACTGTAAAGACATTGAAAATAGCTGCATCAAATACAGCAATACAAGTATATCAGAGTAATAAAAGGACATGACACTTAACCGATTAACATGCTGAAGTCCACAATTTGAGACTTCACCTGAGTCTGCATGTAATAATTCCACTGAATGTCAGTCCACTTTTACCTTAAAAAAAAGGGCTATTAACTGCCCTAAAAACGCGTGCCGATACTCGCCATTTACCTGCGACTGAACTTGGAGGTGAGCTTGCTGAAGATGTTGCCCGTAGCACCCCGCTGACGCGCCTGCGCCGTGTCGTGCGAAAGCGTGGGCGAGCCCGGCGGCCCGTTGTACGTGGCGTTCTTGCGCTCGCGCAGCTGCCCCCCGTGGAAGGTGCTGCGGCTCGAGCTGCCGCGCGGGAAGCGGGTGCGGTCCGGCGTGGCGCCCGTGGGCCCCGGCGCAGACACTCCGATGCTGTGCGCCGACGGGGAGGCTACGGGCACACGCTGGCCGGATGACGAGCTGCTCTCCGCAGGCATAGAAGGGGGCAACGGGGCACAGGTGAGGGGGGGCGATGCTGTGGCAGCGAGGACACAAAAATGTAAGGGGGTGAGAAAATGGCTTTCCCCTGCCCACCTGTCCGAGATGAAGCCTTGCTCTTAATCTGCTGCGAAGGCGGCGTTTGTTTAAGGTGAACGACAAGTGAAGGTGTCTTGCTAAAAGCTTAAAAAGCTCAGTCAACATGTAGCGATTTCTTAAAGAGTGATGACAGCTAATATTGCCCAGGCTATTTCTCTGTTAATACTATGTGTAACAATGTGCTGCCATTTCTATCGATAACCGCAGTATTATTGGCAACAGGTCAATCAAAGATAGCTGTGACCTATCTTACTGAGCACCAATATCTGGGCCATGCTTTTCAGTGAACAAGTGATATCACAGGAAGGTACTTAATGGCACTATGTTGTGACCAGATGATTCTCTAAAATGGCTAAGGTATTTCAGATTTCGTCACCTGTTTGAATAAACAACAAGTCCCATCTCACGCTTTAAAAATCGCAAAGCATTTGACTAGTTTTAACCCTACAGGCTTCTATAGTAATGGACAAGCTGCAACTTTGTACCCCATCTGTGCACTCAACTCAGGTGGCAATGGAATAAAGATTTTTCTTTGCATTTAAAGTTTTGGTCGCAGAGCATGAACCATCACTGTTGTTTTCTCCTGTTTTGGATACCATAAAACTAAACAAATGCCATAAAACCTTAATTCAGCAGGAAAAATATCACAGAAGGAAATAAATGATTTAGGGGGAAGCTGATAATCTTATCAGTAAACCACGAAGAAGAATCATGGTCAGGCAAGGATAGATTGTTCTGTCCCATTACCATTTCCGTTACACCCAGAACAGATAGTGCTTTTATACAGGTTACGCCGATTCCTGGAAAAGACGTCGCCGCATTTTCATTATCTGCCATGCCAAATACGTCCACAGAAGCACCGATAACTTAAACAGAACTTACCGCAACCAATTGGTGGGTCTGCTACCACCACAAAGATAATGTTTACATTCCAAAGAAAAATGTTTTCTTACTTGACATTTTTTGTAGAAAAATATAAAAATACATTTTATGCAAGTCACACTCGCCTCGGCCAATTTCGTAAACAACTTCAGAATAAATTTGTATCGTATTCAATGCAAATATACTGCTACATTAACACAATTTTTCCACGTGGTTTTTGTGCAAATGGTGTATTAGCAGTATGAGATGAGACTTGCCTGAACGGGGAGGGAACTTTAGTAATTGTCAATCGCAGATTTAAAACTTGCAATTGACTATTTGTTTCAGAATCTACTTTGGTTTTGCCACAATCTGCACATCATCCCAATTGACAATCATAATTTCAACTACGTCTCAGGATGGGCTGGCAAATGGTGTCTGCTTTGCCACATTCTATGCGTTGCTTAGAGACAAAGCATTGACTGTGGTGTGGCACAATAGCACCGAGTCATTAGAGCACATCTAAAGCACGCAAAAGGGTGCTCTCAGCATGAGTAATGCTCGATTCAGCAGGGTGATGTTTGACATGAGGAGAGGGCACTGTAATCAATGGCAATGCAGAGGTAGAAGATTCTTCTGTGGCAGCACAAAATGAAGAGCATCGATTTGGTCAGGCCACAGTGTTTATTGAAATCTATAAAAATGTAGCCATGCTCTTTTACATTTTGCCACCATCCCAAGTTGTTGGGCACTTGTAAGTTACTTTTGTCAACTTGCGAGAAGTAATTAAAATGGGTAGCCTTGGATACTTGATTAATTGAATTCCAACAGAAGACAAACTTCAATTGAATGCAATAAAAGAACAATACACATCAACTACAGATTCGTTTTAACAAGCAGAACAATTTTTTGTTAAATAGCATTGCCAAGAAAAAATTAAATTGTGCACAAGCATCAATCTGACCTCCTCCACATGCCAACAGCAAGCAACTATGTTTTCACACAACACTAAGACCGCAAGCCACATGACAACATCCATCAAAGGGGCAAACAATATTAAAGCTAAACAACTGTAAGACAAGCGGGTGTGTTATAAGAGGGTCTCGGCAGCGCTGTGTATGCTAAGCCGCAGGTTGGAGGTTCGCGCAGGACGCTGGAAAACCACCCGGTCACGCTTACGTTGGCCTCAGGGACTCTGTTGATTTATCGGAAGTCAGTGAGAGTCTGGCTGGAAAGCCGGATGCTGACATCGACTTGTGGTGCCTGGCATAGCCCGGTGCAGCCGACAGAGGTGGGTTGGCACCGGGGCTGGGGGCACGGGCACTAGCCAAAAACAGTGGTGGCATTTCTGTCAAACTGCAATGCATTTCCATGCATGAGATGGCGAAAATAGGGTTTTGAAATACATTTGGGCAAAATGGGGAAGGAGAGGTGTCAAGAGGAAAAATATAGGCAAGTGGGAGGAGGGATTTTTTAAAAATCACGTTAAAAAGTGAAACGCGTGCACACAAAACACAGCACGCAAAAACAAGGGAACAAGGACCAAAAGAAAGGCACCCATTAGATTGTCACCAACATGAGTCGTGCACACAACAGCTGACACATGTTCCAAGGGCACAACAAAAACCTGCTGTCTTGGAAACATGAACACTGCACAAAGCAATCTCAACGTTTTAATTTACACAAATGGCTTGGATTGACTGCCTTCAACAATGCTGAGGCCGTGCACCCGAGTTTACGTGAAAACAAACAATGCCGCACGTAAACAAATACCTTACATGCTATGTCCAATTATGTATTCAATTCAAGAGAACAAAATTCCCTCACACAGAGTATGTTCTAAAGGTAACTTGGCTGAAGTAAACACCCTCGAAACACTTGGGCGAGTGAACATTGAGGTTGAATGCCACAGCTGGCAGGGTACCGTCGTGTGCGTGACGCCTATACCTGTTTTCCTTGCCGTTCTGCACACTGGTCTGCCGCTCCCCGCTTGCCTTCTCCCCGTACACGTATGTGTTTCGGCGTGACATGCCGGCCGGCAGCGCGCTGTTCTGTATTGCCAGGGGACATGAAAATAAACACTTTCTCATTCCATTCATTCCCGTGCAGGATGTGACAATTGGGATGTCACTCCAAGCTCACAGTGGAGCCATAAGTGAGATCCTTGCAATCCAAAAACGCCTCATTTCTCCCCGAGGGCTCGTAAAAAGCAGTTTGTAACGCCATGAACATTTCACCTTTTAAAACGCATTCAGGGGTTTAGATATCAGAACAAGCTGTAGCAGTAAAAATATAATCCAGAGAGAAAGAAAAAAAAAACTCACCGGGGGCTGGGTGTTGCCTCCCTTTTTGCGGTTAGGGATTTCGGCCTTGTTGGGATTGGCGGCTGATCCGACGACAGGGCTTGCTGGCACATCTGCCTTACTCGCACTGCTGCCTGATTTTCTAGTCAAATCTTCCCGTGCAGCATCGCCATCTGGGTCAATCGTGGGCAACGCCCCGGCACCGGCCCCCGCCCGCTTGTTGTACGACGCCGACGGTGGGATCTGTGGTCCGACTGCAAGAGTGGAGACCGGGCGCCAGAGGACAGGTTAGATGGGCAGGGGGAGGATAACCATGGCATTGCCTTCACCGAGTAGACAGGGGCATTCGTCTAGCAGACACAGGCATACATTTAGGCTGGAAAGTGAATGCCAGCGAGGCATAGTGCTTAGGCTCACCATGGTCACTGTAACGCCGCTGTTGCTTCTGGTTGGCAGAGACGCTGCGTTGCACCTTGCCGTGAGACGGCGATGGCACCGAGCTGTTGTTGAGGTCACTGCTGGGCCGCAGGGGCTTGGCCAGCGACAGGTTACTTCCGGAACACGAGTCACTCCCCTCCAGCTGAAATGGAAAAGTCAAGAAGTTAGTCAAGTAGCATGTCGGCAAAATTGCCAATGAAGTTTCCATCGTTTTATACATGCATCTTGGCTTTGTGTTTCATAACTTATTCAATTTTTTGTAAAACAATTGCTTAAATCCAAAAAGTAGATGTCTCAACACTTCAGCTCTTAACGTAAAATAATACATATTCTTAGGTATTTTCGGTAAAGTCACATATGTAAAAAATTTAAATTAGTAAAAGTAAAATAAAATAAAAATCACGACGTTTCGGAGGAAACACAAGCTTCCGTCTTCAGGTGGAACCGTCACAGCACGATAGCTGTCGTGCTGTGACGGTTCCACCTGAAGACGGAAGCTTGTGTTGCCTCCGAAACGTCGTAATTTTTATTTGATTTTTTATTTTACTTTTATTGTTTAGCCAGTCACAATCAGAGCTGCCAGCATACGGCACCTCAGAGGGCTTGCGGCCGAGGAGCAGGTACGTGGCCAGAATCTCGTCGTACTTCATGTTCGTAAGCGAGTCCCGGATCTCGTCGCGCGAGTACCCCATCTCAACCATCGTCTCTGCATACATACAACATGGCACCGTCAAAACATTAATCAACTTTCACATTCTCCAAACTAAGAGGATTTTATTTTTCCAATGAAGTGCTGCAACGTCTTGCATTGCATCATACCGATCGATAGCAATATATTCCAGGCACATTTATACTTGCAGTTCTTACCAAGTCATCACATTATCACAAGGACATCATCACAGGTCGCAATTCACCAGTAAAGTGAAAAGAATTTGGCTTTTTTACGATACTATGTCGTGCAAAAACTTTGTATTTACATTGCAATGTTTTTGCTCTGTAGTAATTATTTTATATGAAACAGCTCCCAATGCAGGGCCCTCAGTAATGGACGCGTCTTGGCGAGGTGTGACCCCTCCCCACCCAACCGTGTGAGGCATTACCTATCCTCTTGGTGTCGTTGATGTCTAGTGTGGGCTCCACGTAAGGCTTGAGCTCATCGTCCTCGTGGCCGACGTTCATCCACCGGTCTTTCATGATTTGCTGTTGCCAACGAGACAAACGAAAGGTAAATTGACTTCGTGTTAGCGACAATGAGGCAAGTCGTAAATACGCACAGACAAAAATTAACACCACCTGTGGTACAGCAGGGGCTTGTGTTGAGGCATAGCACAATATCACAAAACACAATTTCCAAACAGCTTGCTCATGCTGAAAGACTGACTCACACTAAACAGAAATCCACTCTTCCTAGAAATTTTTTGACACAATTATGCCACCCCATTACAGTATAGGAGAAAAAAAAACAAGGCTCTGCTATTGCCACACAGGCAAGAAGTTTCATTTTCTGTAGGGAAATGCATTGGCCAATCCAGTGCAAAGCGACGCAGCTTTCGCAGTATTGCAATGCAATAGTTCATATCTGTTCTGCCAAACATTTCTGTAATTGTACTGCAATGACTAAATGAAAGTTATTGCAACTTTAGCTGCTGCTGGTTATGGACTCCCTCACGAGTTACAATATCAAAACAAATATGCAGCAGTTCATCACTGCAAATGGGGATCATTATCATCCCAGGGTCAGCACGTGTCCGCTGGAGGCAACATCACATTATGAGCTCGACTTATCAATTCCTGGCACTGGACCAATCGGCTGGCACTCAAAGCGAGTATGTACCACAGCCGGTCCAATAACGCCCTTCAAACCACACCCACTCAACGCCAATTGGCCAGATCGTCCTTGATCTGCCGGTGCAAGCCCAGCGACAGGCCCCACCCACTACAAACACAAAGCACATGGGCACACACGCAGGCAAGGCAGTCATCACTCCCTCCCCACAAGTAGCCACAACATGTGATGATGCTATCGCTTAGGCCAGTGGAACCTTTTGCCCCTTGCTTGTTTTACTAGAAAGATGGGACCCATGTGGTAGCACCGCCAATATTTATTATTAAGTTCGAGTCTGCATGTTTACGCCACCGGCAAAGTGCTGTACTGCTGCTGTGCTTTTATTTACGTTTGCCGAGCAGCAAGTAAACATGAACAGGAATATGCAAAGAAAGAACCACACAAGCTGCAGCAAAACCAAACACCCAACCGCTGCTAGCTGAAGGAAATCAGAAGTACATTCCCTTCCACGCTCAAATAGAAAACTCTAAATCATACATTTCAAAACAGCTGACAGTGCATAATGAATGCACTGTTGACATCACGGCTGTTGATGTCACATACTGTTTGAGCACCCAGGCTTACATTTTCCAAGGAAGACACCAGTCCGGTCACATTGTCTTATTAATGCTCATGATAACTAATGAGCACAAGTAAACTGGAAACATGTACAATAAAACCCATTAATGTTCACACATTCCTAAAACAAACCATGATGGATACAAATACGATCAGGATACAAATACGAATTCAACACGTGAAAATTGTAAAGAATTACATTTTCACATTGTTAAATTGCCTATGTATATGCAGACAAACAACAGGAGACAATAAACGTTGTTGGGTTAGATTGTGTCGTCACCGAGACATATATTAAACAAACTAAAGAGACAAATGGTGGATTTATAGACATCAACAGCTACATCCAATCTTGGCTGTTTTATGAATGCCAACCCTGCCTCTCTTGAGTATTGTGTCTCAGTTTCCTGGGTTATTCCGGTGACACAACTACGAGCTTGCAATCGAACATAAGGCGGCACACCGCTGAGAAGTGACAGGAGAAAGCACCCACCTCCAATCGCCGGCGGCAATTTTTCTATTTCCCATTAAAAACTGTGAATCGCACCTTGTGCACACCTACGAAGCTACCACCAAGGTGGTAGTTAAACAACATGATTCCACCTCCTGCATGCCCGAATTAAACTACACAAACAGTGGACACGGTTGAAGAATTTGGCATCTGGCTTAGACAAACACAGTACAACAAGTATCACCATTTAGTTCAGTTGTCAATGGAGTGGGACTTGAACACCGCGAATTTTTACACAATCTGCCATTAGGTTTAAACGCTAAAATTTAGATATAACCTTCAAGTCAAAATGGTTGTATCAAAATTGACAACTATGCACAGTTATCATTATAAAAGCCGAACTAAAAGGTGAAATGGGACGACACTTAGAATGGTATCAACCTAGAAACCAATGTGATTAATGAAAAAAAGAACACTTTGAAATGCAAATGTTTGCAAGAGATAAAACAAACATATATAAAATATTCAATGTGGGCTCAACTTGAATGACAACAGTGACATTTAACTATAATTGTAGGTGGATGGGGGCGATCGTTTGGCTGTGAAGCAACCTCACATTGGCCCACTTATGGCAATCAGTGACAAAGCTGTGTTCATTAAGACCTGCCAGTGAACACGCTGCATAACAGCCTCTGGCTTTCAATATTGGAGCCGCTACTTCACTTGTAATGCATCATTACGTGGTGAAATATGAACGATAAATTTAACCCTTGACTAACATTTTGTATCCTTTAAAAATGTTATCTTTGCTTAAAGGAAACCACAGTCGACACATATTATTATTGCCGAGTGCCTACTTGGCTCATACCTTACTGTAAACGGTATGAAATTTCATGGAAAAACATAACATAATTTAAATTAAGTACAGTACTCTCGATTATCCGCGCAAATGACGGCCGCAGATAATAAAAAATAGCGGATAATCCAAAAATATGAATTTTCCTTGGATCTCTATGCCAAAAACTAATATAGGTATAAATTATGTTTAAATTAAGAAAATTGAGCTTGTTTATGAACAAAACTAAAATTTTTATTAAAGAATGTATTGATTTTGATTTAGAACGAATACTAATGATCGACCGATCAATGGGTGTGCTGAGTAATAACACTTTCCTTCTCTCGCGCAGAAGACTCCGCCCACTAAGTGGATAGCAGAGCCACACCAATCAAAATCCACCCACTGTCATAAATAAATGCAACTACTGTACTGTAGAGTCGTTCACGTGGATTTCAGATTAACCGGAGCACACATTTGTTCGGTTTAGGCACGTGACTTGTAATAAACATTTCCAAGAATAACAATGGATAACTTTTCAGATGATTCATTTGGGCTTAAGAAAAAATCCATGAGGTGTTAATTTCCGTGAAAATCTCAGGTGCGTGGTTAATCCGCAAATCGGAGAGACCGCATGCGGATAATTCAAGAGTCGACTGTATCACTGTGATTGCATAGAGCTGAACGCTTCATTGCTCAATGTGAGAAGTTATTTTAGGAAATCAAAAGCAGCATAGAATATATGTCCAAAATAGCTGAACCTAAAAACAGAAGCCACACTCAACACTCGGTCCTCCATGTACTTTATGAACTAGTTTCCTTTCAGAGCACTTTTTTTAATTTGTTGAAAGCCACAAGATCACAACTGGTTGTATGTGTAATGGGTTCAATTTAGGCGCACACACTTCTTGGGAGGCAACACTCATTTATTAATTAACACAACGTTTACTCAACAGTTACTCTTACTCTACACATAGGGTGGTGACCACCGACCTACACTAGCTAACACACAATTGTATTTTATCCGCTCCAGCGTGACCCAGCCAGCTGGCTGCTGGCAGTCCGCTCACTGTAGGTCTTCTCTTCTGGCATCTTCACGAGGTGTCTTCATTCTTCTCAGGAACCGCCCTGCTCTGCCTTCACACCACGCTTATATCTCGTCTCTCTGGCGTGGCCGGCTCCGCCCAGGCCACGCCTCACTTCCCAGGCCACGCCTCACTTCCCAGGCCACGCCTCACTTCCCAGGCCACGCCTCACTTCCCCCACCTCTGGGAAGGTCCGGATCCCTCCAGCACGTGACCCCCCAGGCACCCCCTTGGGGCCCCCAGCCCTCGTACGGGCCAACACAGTAGTGACCGTTCTGTCACTACATCACCCCCCCCTGTATAAACACACAGCCGTCCCCGGCTGTAACACAACTGTGAACATCGAAAAGGTGTGCCTCCGAACCAGCAACATCAATAAATGACCGGCAACCGATAAGAAATACAATCACGTAATATATACAGAATCGACGAGGGTAAAAGGGAACCGCATAGAAAACGGGGAATTAACAACAAATATACATGAAAACCGGCTAACCCACTTACGCTCCATCACAGCCCCCCCACCGTTAGAATCACGCATGCAATGACAGTCACCCGTTAGCACCCCCCCGCCTTTCCGACGTGGCGTCACAACCAGTAGCACGCGTCGGCCATATCGGGGGGGAATTTCCATGTTACCACCCCACCGCCTTTCCGACGTGGCGTCACAACCAGTAGCACGCGTCGGCCATATCGGGGGGGGAATTTCCATGTTACCACCCCACCGCCTTTCCGACGTGGCGTCACAACCAGTAGCACGCGTCGGCCATATCGGGGGGGGGGAATTTCCATGTTACCACCCCACCGCCTTTCCGACGCGGCGTCACAACCAGTAGCACACGTCGGCCAAATCGGTGGGATTTTAACCCAGTCTCTCTCCAAGACTCGCATCGCAGCATATAGCTGTACCGACCGAGCTGAGACGACCCAGTCTCTCTCCCAGACTCGCATCGCAGCATATAGCTGTACCGACCGAACTGAGACGACCCATCGTTCACTCACTGCACAACATGCACCCTAACAACTGAGGGAAACAGTCTCAACGTAACAGGCCAACTCCACCCGAACCTTACGAATCTCCAGCCCACTGTTTCAACGCGCCTCAGAGGGTCTCAACCTCCGAGCCGTCAGGTCAAGCCGTCAGCCATAGCATGACGGGACCACCCTCCCTGAGCCATGTGAGCGCACAGCCCACAAGGCTAGACAAGCCACAGAGTGTCTCCATCTCTGGGCTGTCAGGTCAAGCCGTCAGCCATTGCATGACGGGACCACACACTCCGAGCCATGTGAGCACACAGCCCACTAGGCTAGACATACCACGGAGTGTTTCAATCTCCGGGCTGTCAGGTCAAGCCGTCAACCATTGCATGACGGGACCACACACTCCGAGCCATGTGAGCACACAGCCCACTAGGCTAGACATACCACGGAGTGTTTCAATCTCCGGGCTGTCAGGTCAAGCCGTCAACCATTGCATGACGGGACCACCCTCCCTGAGCCATGTGAGCGCACAGCCCACAAGGCTAGACAAGCCACAGAGTGTCTCCATCTCTGGGCTGTCAGGTCAAGCCGTCAGCCATTGCATGACGGGACCACCCTCCCTGAGCCATGTGAGCACACAGCCCACTAGGCTAGACATACCACGGAGTGTTTCAATCTCCGGGCTGTCAGGTCAAGCCGTCAGCCATTGCATGACGGGACCACACTCTCCGAGCCCTGTGAGCGCACAGCCCACTAGGCTAGACATACCACGGAGCGTTTTAATCTCCGGGCTGTCAGGTCAAGCCGTCAGCCATTGCATGACGGGACCACAACATTCATGTTAGACACGCAACACTCACTGGGCCATCCTGGTCAGGATCTGCGCCCCAAGATAAGTGACAGCCAGCACCACAATTCCAAATCCCTGGCAGCATGTCACCATCGCAATTTAACACCATCACAACACATACAATTTGAATTATGATCCCCCACAGAACTGATCCAATGCCGAACAGGTACGCACAATTTGTGACGATCCCGAATATTCAATGTTCACAACAATACACCTCACATCCCGTATCCGTACACATCATCTCCGAGACTCGCATTGCAGCAATGCAGCTGTACCAACCGAGTGGAGAGAGCAACGCAATTTGACGGCAATTAACGGAAACGCACCCCCGATCCATGTAGAACACAAGGAGCATTCCCGCACAAAAGACATCATCTGTGCAACAACGGACAGGAACCAACCAGTGAGTTTGAAACAAACCGAACCTGTAATTTCAAAATCCCCTTCAACATTAACCATGGGACTCAGGGCATTCGAATTAAAAAAAACTATACACAAACGCCAAGAATCGCCGAATTGATTAATACAGTATATGCAGTATACGAAGTTCGTACAGTCAATCATTTGGCGCAATGTTCCATCCAGTCCCCACATGGCAACACACACAATCAATACTCCAGACAATCCGTACATAGTAAATAATCACCAGCAAGTACCCAACAGTCCATACACTGTTAACAATTTCAAGCAAAGCTCCATACGGTCTGTACATTGGCAACAATGACGATCAAAGTTTCTGACAGTTACAAGTGACAATCACGAGCGAAACTCCATACAGTATACACAATAACAATGGCGATTTCGCAACAACGATGTAACACGAGTCATTAACACGGCTACATACAGGATATCAACGGAGCTCGGGACACCAACAACGAATTAATCATTAACTACCCCCAGAAGATACCGATCTCGACGCCGTAATTAACAACAAACACTGGTCGCCGCGTCAATTTCTCACGCACACAACCGGACGAACACGTTCCGCAACCCAGCGAGTAAAAAAAAACACCCGCGATCGCAACCCGGCACACGCAAGATGGGTGAAGTTATTATTATTATTTTTATTGGGGCCGGGTGCTTGTCAAGTCACAACTCGCCTGGCAAACTGTGAATAGCGGAGGGCGGCAAGGTGGAGCACTGGAACGGCCCGAAGAATCTTTGATGGTGAACACGGCCTGCTCTTGCGAACCCATCCACCTCTCGCGCTCGAGCAGAAGGCTGGAACTCCCCCTCTGCAGGCGTTGATGTCGGCGGGAGCGGCATTTCGGCAGCAGGAGCGGTGTTTTGGCGGGAACAGCGCCCCGACCAGCCGCCGAAATGGCGGGAACAGCGTTTTGGCGGGAACAGCGCACCGACCAGCCGCCGAAATGGCGGGAACGGCGTTTTGGCGGGAACCGCGCCCCGACCAGCCGCCGAAATGGCGGGCCCACCGCGTGGCCCGCATGCCCGGGCCTCCCCCGCCAGCCACCGCAGCGACGATGGTGTCCTCTCGCCGCGGCTCCGTCGCTCCGTTCCCGATGGCGGCGAAGCAGCAGTGCGATGCAAGTCCCGCCGCTCCGCGTGCAGCGCCATCTCTCTCTCTCTCTCTGTCACCGGGGCTGCCATCCCCGGGGCTGTCCGAAGGACGGTCGTCACACCATCCCCGTCGTACGAAGACGTCCAGATGAGTTTAGTATTTGTTTTTCGTGTGCCCATTTTACTTCCCTAGGATAACACCTAGCAATATTTATTTTTCCACAACTTCTGACACCAAATGTAATGGGTTCAATTTAGGCGCACACACTTCTTGGGAGGCAACACTCATTTATTAATTAACACAACGTTTACTCAACAGTTACTCTTACTCTACACATAGGGTGGTGACCACCGACCTACACTAGCTAACACACAATTGTATTTTATCCGCTCCAGCGTGACCCAGCCAGCTGGCTGCTGGCAGTCCGCTCACTGTAGGTCTTCTCTTCTGGCATCTTCACGAGGTGTCTTCATTCTTCTCAGGAACCGCCCTGCTCTGCCTTCACACCACGCTTATATCTCGTCTCTCTGGCGTGGCCGGCTCCGCCCAGGCCACGCCTCACTTCCCAGGCCACGCCTCACTTCCCAGGCCACGCCTCACTTCCCCCACCTCTGGGAAGGTCCGGATCCCTCCAGCACGTGACCCCCCAGGCACCCCCTTGGGGCCCCCAGCCCTCGTACGGGCCAACACAGTAGTGACCGTTCTGTCACTACATATGCAGACTGGCTGCAAAAGCCTTCCATTGAGCCCCACCGTAAAGCTTGAGTGCTGCACACTGTGGCAGAACAACCTTTATTTACAACTGGATGAAATCTTACGGGAGGCAAAACGTCTCCTTTTGCAAGGGAGACCTGAAAAATACAGCGCATAATATATAAAAATAAATGTAGACAATTGGCCAAACGATATTGTACATTTGTACAAGGCAATAATGCATGCTGAACATATTTAATTGTATTTGTTAAGTTGAATGATATTTCACTCAATTACTCCACTGGTGCAAAAGCAATCCCACGGCTGATGGTGCAGATTTTGGGTTTGCCTAAAATTTGTTCATCACTTCAACAGCCCATATGCGAGTTATGCAGGGAATAAAATCCGAGTAAAAATCCCCAAAAAACAATGTAATGTACATTGTGAGCCATGTTTAAAACAATCGTGCTTTTCGACCAATTTTTAAGAATGCTGGTATTTTAGTTTTACCAAAACAATCCAAAAAGCACAACACTTTACAAGACGCGATGCCGATGCTTGAGAGTTGATAAGAGCACTCGAAGAACATAAATTATTGTTTTCTCAAATGTATAATCGTGTTTTTCTAATTGTTTAGATGTCTTAGTTTATATTCTATGGTTCTTTCGGTAAAGTCATGATCGCAACACAAGCGGTCGTCATCAGGAACAGGGAGGTTAGCCTCTTGTCATAGTTGAGCTCAAGTCTCTTTTTACAATCTGGTAAACCAGGTATCAACAGGCCCATTTCTTCAAATAATGATCAATGTAGTGCTAACGTCATGTTAAGAGATAAAGTCTGTTACTTCAGGAGCCTGTTAATACATGAATGGCTGTAAAACTGTTCTACGATGAAAAGGCTTTCATGATATACCATACAGTTGTAATAAAATATCTCCTAAATGCCAAAGTGCTAGTCATCTACCAAATCATAAACTTGTGCATAAAAGCTATGAATAAACTGTGCTAAGCCCCCTGTTCCAAAACAACATTTCCTGTAAACAGGGTCAAATGGACAACACTCTGAGCAACTGTATACCTTATGGGGCATAGATTTCCCTTGTCAGAGCGAGACCACTGCACCTGCTATGCCAGCCTCTCGGGGAACATCCACCGACGCAGAAGGCAATCTTCAATAGGACACGCTGGTATCGTTTTACACACACACTTTAACCAAGACTCCAACCTTGCCACAGGAATTTGAATATATATTTAAGGGAAGCCCTCGTTACCAGCAATACCCAGATGGATTTTAGCTGTAGGAAAACCAAAAATTAAGGCAAACAAGCACCCCAAATTTACAGTGTTGTTAACATCCATTAAAGTTGAGAAAACCCATGAGCGTGTGGTGAGGCCAGCACTGCATCAATGTACCTTTTTATTCCCAGTGCTTAAGTTCACACACTGGATCAGCGAATAATTCAAGGCTCAGTCAACCTAGGACCATTTCTGGGTAGGTTCAGACACCAGATGTCATGTACATGTTCAGCACCAATGCCAGTAATCAAACCCGCAAAGAGATAATCGAACGGGCGCACACTGTTTCAGCCAGTGATCTCCAGTAATTCTCGTGCTTGAAACTGGCAAGAACACAAGCATGCACACACACACACATGCAAGCAGGCATCATCTCAACAGCGCACACCTCTGACAAACACACATGCTAGCACTGCAGCTGACCTCCAGGCTGCCCCGCTTGGCAGGGTTGAGCACCAGGAAGCGCTTGAGCAGGTTCTCACAGTCGGTGGACATGTAGAAGGGGATGCGGTATTTCCCGCGCAGCACACGCTCACGCAGCTCCTGCACAGCACACGAATGCAAAAAGCACCCTTGAGTCGGCTCTTTGCCCATGGGTTAACCACCTACCCAAAAAAATTATATATTTTTTAAAGTTCAGTTTTCAAACTTATTTTATCTCAATTTGTGCTATCGGTATCATGCCACAAGTTGAAGAATCCTATCAGATATGTCAAAGAGCAGTGCAATGATTTGTCAGAGAATGGCCCATAGAAGCGGATACCAGAGCTCCCCCCCCCTCTTGAGATCCCTTCAAGCAACATCTAGTCCACACGATCGGGGAAAGCAATTTTTACTCATGCTGCCACTCAAGAGTAATGTTCATCATATGATAGTCAAACTATTTTAAACTATTATACATGGAAATCAGCCATATTTTGCAGACACAAATTTTATGTTATAGGTTTTTTGTGTATTCATTGTTGACCGAGCTAAGACCATCAACTCAATATTGAGCAGCAGGTTTAATCACAGGTAGCTGCTTGAAACCAGGATCCAGACGGTATGAGCTCTGGCCTCTTGCTTATCTGGACAACTTGTTCATGTTTTTGTTTTTTGTTTGTTGCGGTTGCACCCAATTCAAGAGCCGAATGGCTCACAGGGCTATACAAAATAAATGAAACCGAAACTGAAAACTGATAACTTACTTTGCCGCGTTGCCACACTTCCTTATGAAAATGTGTTTCCATATATGTGGCTGGTAAAAACCAGACATGTGATGTAGATTCCTAAAAAATAATCATAGCTGGACTTAAAAAAAGACTATCCTGAATGAAAAATGATTACTGGTGATTACCATTGGCAAAATTACTTTTTGACCATGTGAGTTGATCTTGTCTTTGTGGGATAAAAAAAAACATAAGTTGTAATTTTGCATAGCAGTTCTTAAAACTAAAAGCATAAAATTACGTGCATCAAAATTCACTCACGGATGCACATACATGTACATGATACCGATCACGAGTATGCCCCCCACACAATAATAGCCACCATTCAGGACAAACTGGTAGTGACATCACTACTGGAGTGTAAGCGTCTTGCTGGCAGGTTTGTGGACCAAGATGTCATGGGATAATTGTTTAACTGCCCCACAGCCCCCTCTTTCCCCCAACATGCAAACGCACTTTGAGATTCTGGCCGTCGAAGGGCAGCGACCCGCTGACGAGCGTGTAGAGGATCACTCCGAGGCTCCACACGTCCACCTCGGGCCCGTCGTACTTCTTGCCCTGGAAGAGTTCGGGCGCAGCGTAGGGGGGGCTCCCGCAGAACGTGTCCAGCTTGCTGCCCAGCGTGAACTCGTTGCTGAAGCCAAAGTCGGCGATCTTGATGTTCATGTCGGCGTCCAGGAGAAGATTCTCCGCCTGCGCGCGGGGGGGGGGGGGTTATCATCAACACAACAATACCATTTCACGCAGGACATGCGGCAAATGAGAGATTGTTATTACGTCTGCTTAACGTGCCCCATGTGAAAGAAGTTGACCCGTTTTAATGAAGGATATATATTTGAGCATGTGGAAATCCCACGGACCCCCCCATCCTTAGTGTCATGGAACAATTCCCTCGATCACAATTAGCCTCCCTGGATCATCAGAGATACATGCTTGAAGGAGGCAGACTTAAAAGAGCATGGGATCAATTGTTACAAAAAAATTAACCCTGCCCCAGATATCTGAGACCCACTGGCCCAGTGTCACCAGGACACACACCTTTTTAACTGTATGAGATCCCACTCAGTCAACATGCGCAGCTCCTAACCCTCCAATTTTAGCCCCCTTTCCCCACCCACCCACGCTTCTTTTCCAACATCTTGCATGTTTATTTTAAGATAAGATCAGCCAACCCTATAAAATCCCAACAATAAGCTCCATAAATAAGTACCATGCATTGTCAAATGTGAATATAAAAAAAGAAATAAAAATGTTCGTCACAGGAAAAAAATATCTATTAACCTTTACAATGTTATTAGTATGCAATTGGCACAGATGTGTTCATTATTGTAGGTTCAATAACATCTCGTCTGCTATTAAGTCATAAAATGAATACTTGCACATGCTCAAAGTGTAGTAGATATAAAAGCATGGTAACTGGCAGGTAAACTCACTTTGAGGTCTCTGTGTACAATGTGTTTCTGGTGGCAGTATTGCACAGCAGATACAATCTAGAAAGGAAACATGAAGAAATTGTTGATAAAAGTTCAATAACATTAAAATCATTACAAAGAGCAGATTTCCCGTACACCAATGCATCAATAATGAAAGTGGTGGCATTGTTTAATTAACAGTAAGACAAAATAAAAAAGTAATGCTCTCAGTAGTTACAAGCGCATATAAAAGCAGTGCTAAGGGGTTAGATGTAGCACATTTAATGGCTAAATGCATCTCACAAACATCTGCACTTTCCTCTCAAGCAAAAATAAAAAAAATAGTTTTAACTGGAAAATACAGAGGCTTTTAGAGTACATGGGTTGATAGATTAGCCAGTTTAACAGGTTGCTGCTGGAGGAAGATTGATGATTAACAGTGAATGCATAACACGACCATCAGCTCCACTGCCCCATATTGCACCGACTGCTTATATATTGTAAAAGGCTTTATAGTTACCATATGGCAGTGTTGCCATATCTGAGGAACAAAATCTCCCTATTACCTGGAACAAGTACTTCCTTAATTTGAAGGGAGTACATCCAAATTGTCTAAACCAGGTTTCAAAATTAAAATGTCTCTCCAAGGCGCTCGAGAAAACAAATTAATCATCAAAATTCGGGCATGGATAAAAAACTCAAAACTCTTCTCTTCGACTATAATAAGCATCTGCAACCGTAAACATTTCTGAATGCACAACCTCTAAATCCACAGGCATAACCTCTGATCTACCAAGAATGCTGTTGCGATCATTGGCTTTCTTTTACCGCATCGCTTTCAGTTTCAATACAACCCACATCCGAGGGGCCCGCCCGCACTGGACCACTATCAGAGATTTCACCCAGTGTTCATTCGAAGCCAGAGCTTTGAGGGCTAGGTTATGAGCAGCAATTGCGACTACGATAACACCTGCGCTCACAATATGTACACGAGTGGCAAACCCATAAGAGCATGCAGCCCGAAACCAGAGTAGGAATTTTGATGTGGATGTCATTTTTTGGCAAGTGGGGTTGGGCAAAGGTGAAAGTAGACTTAAAAAATACTTAATAATATTAGCAATATCCCAAAGTCCTGACGAAGTCCACTCACTATAATTATCAGTCGGTGTGCCGTGTCTAATTTTGCATTTCTTCCTGGATTAATCTGCTTCTTTCAACTCCATGCTTATTTTCATACTTTTCAGCTTTTGTTACATTTTCTCTGTCAGTGTCCATGTTTTACCGCATGTTATAGCAGGCAACATCACTACAATTGAAAATGTCGATCTTTAAGCATATTGGTATGTTGGTTGTCGTTATAAAATAACATTTTACAAAAGCACTGCAACCTGCTACCACCCACCTTTTTATTATATAGTTCTGATAACTGCCCACAATCAAATTACTGCCCTAAGTACACATACAACTGATGCATGTTCTAGTTGTTCCACAAATGTATGCCTTCATTTGTTAATTGAACTTGCAAACGTCCTTTGATTTGCTCATATTTATCCTGAGTGCAACTTTGCATCCTGGTTTTACTTTTTCAATATTCCGTCAATTATTTACAATGGTTGTTATATTGACTGTTTATCAGCATAAATGAGATGGATAATATTTCCTCCATTCTAAATTATGCTTTTATTCCTCAAAGACATTTAAAAAATATTTCTTCTAAAGTCACTCTACATAGCCTTAATTGAGAGCTTATCTCCAAGCCAGAACCGTTTTTTTGTATTCTGTGACCATCTTCAAGGAATATTTGTACAGCTATTCTATATATATTATAAATGAACAGATATCAAGAAAACTAGCTCGTTCTAATGAAAAGGGTTGTAATGCCTCTGGGAAGACAAATTATATTAATAGTAAGACTTCCATTATGGGGAAAGGTTTTACTTTAAGGAGCGAATGAAGATGATCAATATGAATGCATTCAATTTTAGGCCCGACTGCTATCTACGGCTGTCTTGTTTGAGCAAATCTCCAGAACAAATTCACAACTGTGTACAGCCACATCCCGAGTTCCCTTTAAAAACGCAGGTTTCTTTAAATACAATGGACTGTAATGGACTTCCACTTATCCCAAAGAAATGAATGCCTCCAACACCAATCAGAAATATGTATTACGCAGCACAGAGTAAATTAAGGGAATGTGGTCCAAGTCTGGTGGCTACTTCCACAGTGGCCACCTTTAGCACCACACTGAAGGCCCATTCTCACCTATGCACATCTGTCAACGAGTCAACATAATGGCGAGCCGGAATGCAGTTTCAGTGGGAATAGTATGTTCACCAACAATACACAAGCGGGATATTACAGGTAGAAACAACAGTTCCACACTGCCCACCAGGGATTATTTGTCTGTCTGTCGTGCATAGCCACGCCCTCGATTTGTATTTCATAGAGCGCTTCGGGCAGGCTCAGCACCACGTGACGCACCGCACGTGACGCACCGCCCCACACAGCTTGTGCCGCGTGACACGGATCGCACGAATGCGCTGTCTAACCAAGTTTCTACCTGCCCACTCCGAAGGAACGTATTTTTGACAAGATAAATTATGCTCACCTGTCTAAATTTTGCTCGTGCCTCTTTTTCCTTCATACGTCCATGTGCAACCAAGTAATCAAACACTTCGCCTGAAAAAAGAAAACATTTCATTACGTGCAAATAATGAAGGAAATTATACAAATATGCAGACACTTTCATGTGACACTTAATAACATCAATTCATCTTGCAGATGCATTCCTAATATGCTGAAAATGAATTAGCACGTTCACAAAGAACAGGACTCATTAATAAACACCAATTGAAAATGTAGCGTGTAAATCGTTCAGACTTGACAGTTTAATTCAGTATTTCAATAACGTTATATATTTTCTTGATCTGAGATGTGATCGTCACTCGTTTTGCTCAAGCGAAAGTGTGAAGAAACTAGAACAAAAAACACCGACAAAACCAACACCTTGAAATCACATGACATTGGTGACGAATATAAAAAACTAAGCAATTTGTATGTTACCAGGTAAGGCCAACTGTGCTATACAGATCTTTTTCAGAAGTGACCTTGCCACAAGTAATAAGCTCAGCCAAGTAAGTGGCTATCATGTGGAAATTTATAGCAGCCAAATAAACTCATGTCGATAAATGTACAACACGACCACAGGGCGAACATGCAAACTCCAAATATTCAGGCATCATTGCAGGGATCGAACCCACGACCTCCTGTATACCAGGCGAGGTAGTTACCATCTCGCCATAGTGGCACCCATTATATAAGGAACTAAGCAAACTCCCACAGACTATATACAATTTATGGATGGGCCAGTTGGTTTTGGCAAAAATGATCTAACAGGTGGTTATTTCGACATCACTCCACCACCTTGCACACGTAAAAAAATTCTGCATTTCAGCGAGACCTTAACGTCCACAAGCAGACGGGTCAGCGGGGCTTATCATGAATGTCTCTTGCAAAGGAGTGACTCCTTTCTGATGTGGCGCCAGTCATAGTTGGGGGATGAGATCAGGTTACAAACTGGCGAACCTTGATTGCACACGGGAACAATGCAACCTCTGCGGTATCCAAAACTTGGACTGAACTTTCCCCCCCAAAGTGCCATATGGAGGAAAAGGAGAAAGGAGAGACCAAAACTTTTAAAAAAACAAAAAAAAGGTGATTGACATCAGAGGAAAGCTGGAAAATGACCGAGTAATATTTACCTCCACTTGCATACTCCATCACGAGATACAATGTTTTTTCCGTCTCAATAACTTCAAATAATTTAACTGCAAAAAAATCAAACAAACAAATTAAGAAGACGCAAGGGACACAAGCGTACACTTTAAAATTAATTACGAGGCAGCAGAATACTGACTCATATTAATTTTAAAGTGGATACAGAAATTATTCACATCAGCGATGCAGGAGCTAATCAATTGCGGGGATATATATTCAATGTGTTCCGCTTTAGTTAAAGATGCTGCAATTAAGTGTTTTTGTGAACTGCCCAACTGTCCCAAAATGCAGGAACCTCCTAAAAGACGAAACATGGTGAAGCTTTACAGAATACATTAATCATTAATATAGTTGGTGGCATCCATACCGATATTGGGGTGATTTAAAATCTTCATGATTCTTACTTCTCTGAAAAGCTGAAAAAGACACACAATCTAATTAGATCTCATTAATTTTAAAACATTGCCCTGGATTCACAGCTGAGATGAACATCTCATTTACTGAGGTCCTGCAGCCCTAGTGGTAGCATAAGGGTCAGCAGACATTACATTTATAATTTGTTACCATGTTAAAAACAAAACATGCATGAGAGATAATCATGTATTGCAGATACAGGGCATTAAATATAATTGCAGACAAAACAAAGACAGCTACTTAAATATGACTCATTCCCATTCAGCAGCACTGTAAAATCTAAGGCTGACAATTGGGTGGTATGAAATTGTTAAAGGTTTACATAAATTTTTATCAAATGGCAAAAATACCTTAACAATTAAGAGTAAAGAACCATTACATAAAAAAATATCAATTAATTTTGGCTACTCGTACATCGATAATAAATCATAATAACTGCAGCACACTAACATACGTCGGTAGCAATTTTGACTGTAGCCTCAACGATCGACATAAACACATCTGGAAAAATAGATTACAGACTGTGGACAACTCGATTCCAGTTTGCAATTATCTTTTCGGTTTCAGCCATGACAAATTTTATCAGCGAGTTGGTCGCAGAACAGTGTGGGAATTTTTTTAAATGTATAAATGGGTTGCAACATCCCCCAAGACTTCTGATTTTTTATGATATCTGACAGAGGGCACTAAAAGCCCAAACTAGGGATTTCACAATGGCGATAAAATAACCCCCCAACTGAAAACGTCCTGTGACGATTCAGTAGAATGCCAAAAATATTCCACAAAGATGAGGGATAATTTTTGTTGTGAGGATTTCCACAATGTTCAGAGCAGCACCCATTTTTTTTATTGCAGATATGTAAACTTTTGCTCTTTTAAAGTGGGTCACATTTTCAAATACTATTTGGGGACATATATTTGTGTTTTTAAATAATCAGGGCTAACTTGCTCCTTCCTGTGACCTCCTTTGCTAGTACTAAAATATGAGAATACGTTTTCCCCCTTTTATCTGGCAACAAAACAGGTGTTAAGTTGTTAAAACACCAAACTGAAACCTTTTACAATGAATCATGTCTGCATTAACCACAATAGTTGTGGTCAGAATGCAAACAAAAAACACTCTGATAATATATGCAGGAGGTCCCGTGATGTAGATGCTCACCCCGAGCTCTCATTACTCTGATAGTGCATTGTCTTTGACCTGTATGCCTTTTGGCATCCTCTGGTTTAACACCGTTTGAGACGTGGCTCAAAAGAAAGCTGTCTTTGGTGTGGACCAATCAGTTTCAAAGACATATTATCAGAGTATGTTTGTTTGCATTTTGACCTCAAGTATTGTGGTTAATGCAGACATGATTCCTTGTAAAAGGTTTCAGTTTGGTGTTTTAACAACTTAACACAGCTGTTTTGTTGCCAAATAAAAGGGGAAAAACCTATGCTCCTAACTTGCTCCTGTTGGTTTTTTCTTCGAACAATGTATTGTTTAAATATTATGCATAGAAAACAAAAAATATACAACAATTCCTTGAGAAACATTCACCATCCAGGTGCCAGTTAACTAGCTATCACACAGGTCAAGGCAATTATGCAATTTTGTAGAAAACAGGGCCCGCAAACAATTGCCTACAAATTGTGGTAGCCAAAAAAAAAGAAACCAGTCAATCCTGCTCAAACCAGAATTCACACTATAAATTACTTAGCAATAAGATACACAGGTTTCAATCGTGCCTCAAAAATGAAACCTGACTGCAATTACGCAAAACAAATTCACACATTTCCTTCCCCAGGACTACGATAAAGATATTTCTACCTGGCACACTTACATAATGCGGTATGGCTTTTGTACAACATTGGTGCAAGCACCAGCAAGTCAACTTTAAGAGTCAAGAAGATAATGCTTTGGCCATGGTAAAAAATAAGAATAAAAAAGCATTGTCTATCACAATCAAGGCATTTTTTGCAACCCACAAGCAAAAACAGCATCTAAACACTTATGTTAAACCCAGTTTGTATAGTTGGCCACCAACACCCTCGCACTATTGGAGTGTGTCGGTGGCCAACATATGAATAAAATAAGTTTGTGAATGGTGTTGTGTGCCTCTTGGGTGCTCAAGTGGTTCTTCTGATTAGTCCGTGTAATATGTAACATGATTCTAAGTCTGTATCCTGCTGGCAAGATGTACTTTGGGATGTGAAGAGGTCTTATCATTCATTTTTCAAAGTAACATCAACCAAGACAAGACTGCGAGAAACATTAATTCTAATTCAATTATAAGACCTACCCAAACAACGATGGTCAACTACAACCTTCTCTTTAAATTGTTCTTATCTGAGCTAAGAAAGCTAAGTACTGTAAAACAAGTTAATAGGAAAAATTAGATTACCTAATTTCAATATTACTGCTGTTTACATAGCAATACTTTTAAATATTGTACACCTATATGCGCCGTTGCACAGTAAAGTCTAAGGCCTATAGCACTTCCGGCATAGGTACAATGTTGATATCACAAGCAGGCAAGTCGCAAAATCAACACCTGTAACTCTGGCAAAACACCTTGGTCATGTCCTTATCATGCATGATCACTGTTCAGATTTAGCAAATAAATGTTCAGTAAGACTAGTAGCATGGCTTGACAGGCCAGCGCTGCAGGTTCCCAAAGGTCACCTTCACAGTCACACTGCAGCAAGTCTAACCAGCACTGCTTAGCCACCGTGTGCTCGGCAACTGCACTGTAATCTTTTACATCTATGTCAACTAGCATTGCCAAAGAGATAGGCAATATGCCCAAGTGGAATGTGTGTACACGACATAGTAGTTTATGCTCAAGTGAGCAGTGTGATTTAACACAATCAACTTTATTTTGGTTATTAAGGCATTAAGTAAATGCATTCTAAACTGAACAAACATTGTTTTTAAACTATATATATTTTATACGGCTGTTCTTGAAAAAGCAGTACTGTATCTGTAATCAAACTTTCATTACATTGGAGCGTCTATGCCTTGGAATTGTTTATTTAAAACTGCAAGTACACCAGGTTAAACCGTTAATGTTTAACTTTATCGACGTGCTACTACAAGACTAACAACCTTGTGTCTACATCTATTCTCTTTACAAGGCATAATAAAAAAGATATTTTGAAAGTTCCTGTAATACAAAAGCCCATTATAAACACGATTTCAAAGACATTACAGATATTTCAAGTGAATGAGGTAATGATGTCGTTCGGTGCTACAGACCGCCTTAATCTACTCAAAAGTACATTCTTTTGGCAAACAACTGGAATTCAACTTGATCAAATGTGTAAAATCGCAGGCTAAGAAACCAGTGTACGGATGTGGAGGGTGAACCAAGTGTTGGCCAACTATACACCTTGTCATGCCATTCAATTGCATTTGTTGTTCAAAATTAATTGGATGAAAGAAACTTTCTCCAGATGAATCTATATATATAAAATCGTGCATGTCTGTCTGTCTGTCTGTGTATGTGTGTGTGGATTTCGGACCATACGCACTTTCATTGGACGGCGGTTGCCCCTGGCAACAGCTAACGACGCCTTCGCCGCTTTCATTGGACGGCGGTTGCCCCTGGCAACGAGTAGCAACTTTTCGCCGCGGGGTGGACGCCATTTTTAATAGCGCGGGGGGGGGGGGGGGACCGGCACCCGTACCCAGCGTTCGCCGGGTGGGAAAATCAGGCAAGGCGGGAGGCTCTGCACGGTGCTAGGCCTCGACACCCAACACGCCACTCTGAGGTAAATTCATACAAATTTCACGTCCTCTACAGAGTGGCGAGGGAGGCAGAGTGGCAAGGGAGGGAGAGTGGCGAGGGAGGGACTCAGCCTCAAAACGAGAAACTGGTGTGGCGTATTAACATCGCCACTGGGGAGACAAAGGCGGCCGGGCGTGGTGGATACAAGTCCCGGGCAAAGCCAGGTCATGACTATGTGTGTATGTGTTTATGTGTATGTCTGTGTGTCTGTATGTATGTGTGTATGTATGTGTCTGTATGTGTTTGTGTGTATGTATGTGTGTGTCTGTATGTATGTGTGTATTGTGTATGTGTTTGTGTGTATGTATGTGTGTGTTTGTATGTATGTGTATGTCTGTGTGTACGTGTGTGTGTATTGTGTGTGTGTCTGTGTGTGCGCGTGTGTTGTGTAGGGGGAACGGTAGTGTAGTGCTTAGCGTGCTGCCTGTGTGTGTGTGTGTGTCTGTGTGTGTGTCTGTGTGTGTGCGTGTGTGGTGTGTGGGGAGCGGTAGTGTAGTGGTTAGCGTGCTGTCTGTGTGTCTGTGTGTGTGTGTCTGTGTGTGTGTGTCTGTGTGTGTGTGTCTGTGTGTGTGTGTCTGTGTGTGTGTGTCTGTGTGTGTGTGTCTGTGTGTGTGTCTGTGTGTGTGCGCGTGTGTTGTGTAGGGGGAACGGTAGTGTAGTGCTTAGCGTGCTGCATGTGTGTGTGTCTGTGTGTGTGTGTCTGTGTGTGTGTGTGTCTGTGTGTCTGTGTGTGTGTGTGGTGTGTGGGGAGCGGTAGTGTAGTGGTTAGCGTGCTGTCTGTGTCTGTGTGTGTGTGTCTGTGTGTGTGTGTCTGTGTGTGTGCGTGTGTGGTGTATGGGGAGCGGTAGTGTAGTGGTTAGCGTGCTGTCTGTGTGTCTGTGTGTGTGTGTGTCTGTGTGTGTGTGTCTGTGTGTGTGTCTGTGTGTGTGTCTGTGTGTGTGTCTGTGTGTGTGTCTGTGTGTGTGTGTCTGTGTGTGTGTCTGTGTGTGTGCGCGTGTGTTGTGTAGGGGGAACGGTAGTGTAGTGCTTAGCGTGCTGCCTGTGTGTGTGTCTGTGTGTGTGTGTCTGTGTGTGTGCGTGTGTGGTGTGTGGGGAGCGGTAGTGTAGTGGTTAGCGTGCTGTCTGTGTGTCTGTGTGTGTGTGTCTGTGTGTGTGTCTGTGTGTGTGCGTGTGTGGTGTGTAGGGGGAACGGTAGTGTAGTGCTTAGCGTGCTGCCTGTGTGTGTGTCTGTG